GAGTAGAAACATGAGAAAAGGTGGTCCAACATCTTCAAAAATATGTTGATGCATTTTTCAGTTGGTTGCCCTGGACAATTTTTTCTAAATTTGAATTCAGGGAATCGACGTACATAAAATTCAGGTAGGATTTTAAACTCTCAAGTTTTCATTTTTTACTCAAAATATTGATAAATTGAATTGATTAAATTATTTTCTATTCAAAATCATTAATCAAAATATCAAATTTTGTTTTAAAAAAATCTATAATTTTTCCCCTTTAAACCTTAATCTTGCATCTGATAAAATGTTTTAAGATTTTAGGTTAAATTATAATTTTAGCCCTTCTACTACCTGACTTGCTTTTTGTTTCAGTCTTAATATGAAAAAAAAATACAAACTAATTTTCACTATTTATTGAAGTTACAGTGATGTTAGTTTATTTTTAATGCAAGGACTAAAATAAAAAATTATTTGTGTATAGAGACTAAACTATAAAAAATTTTATATGTAGAGGCCAAATAAAATAAAATTATAGAGATTAAAATAAAAATTGATGTTAGATATAAAAATCAAATTAAATATTTTTTTTAACTTTATTAAATGATAGAAACTAATTAGTAAATGCTTTTTCATTAATAAAAGGATCAATACGTAAGGTTTTTTCATTCATAAATAGAAAGAAAAGTGTCAAGTGCAATGACCCAAATTATAATTAAACCAAAATTTATCATGGTTTTACTAAGTTTCTTACATCCAATTTTTTTTAAAAAATCATTGTGTTCCGTTACACACCTCCAAAAAATTTAGCTAGAAAAAAAGTTTTAAATAGAATAAAATCAACCGATGATTAAATTTGCTAATTTTAAAACTAGAAAAATAACAAGTTTTGAACAATAAGAAAAAAAGTTAAGTGAACAATAATTGTAATTGATGAGAATTTAATCAATTACATTTGCGAAAAGTGGAAGCTATCTATGGTTTACAAGGTAGAAAAATACAATGACTATAAGCTGAAAAACTAAAAAAAAAAAAGGAGAAACTAATTAACTTGACAAAAAGTTAAACTATAGTTATTATAATTGTTAACAATCTAGTATATACTAGACACCCCAAGGCAAGCTGGAGAATGTATATCACACATTCCAAGCTTGGATTGAAGGTTAAAAAAGGATTTGGGTAAATATGCCTACAAGTTGTACTTTTGTGGAGTTAGGTAGAAGATGAATAAATCTAGTTGAGTTTATTTCAAATAATGTGAAAAACTAGTTCAATATGTTTAGGTCTTTCATAGAACGAAAGATTTTGAGTTCTATAAATTGCTAATTTGATTTGATGATGTTGCAATATTGGAATAGATGATTTTACTATTGAACTTCACATATTAATGCACTATATTCTACTTTGAATAATGACTTTGTAATTGTGGTTTGCATTTTGGTTCCCCAAGAAATGCAAATTATCTAAGTAAACATGGTAACTTGTTATAGACTTCCTAGTGTCTAAACAACAAGCTGGATCATTGTCATTATCACAAAATGTTCTTTAGTGGATATCTGAATTTAAAGAAAATATCATATACTATCTTGAAGATATGTATCTTAAGATTCGATTAGTAACTTGTTAGTAAATGTCAGTTGGAACTGAGAGAAATTGACTTCGTTGTTACTAGACATATGTAATATTAGATTTAGTAGTAGTAACGAGTAAGGTATAGCAATTTGACAACAAGTCTTCAAGAAGAGGTTATGCTTTGAAGTGCATTCTTATTATCTTTGCTTAGTTTTAGTAAACTATCCACAGTAATTATAGATTATAGTTTCTGTCAGATAAGATTATACCTTTTGAAAACTTAATAAACTTCAAATCTAAAAAATATTTAACATTTTCGAGGTCTATAATTTTGAACTTTGACTGTTTTGACTACTGAAATTTTTCTTAAGAGATTGTTTGAAAATAAAGTTTTTAGGGGAGATGAGAGGGGAAGAGAGAAGACAAATTTTGTATTTTAAATAAATATATTTAAAATTAATATTTTTTTAAAATAAAAGATATAAATTGATATATTAACATAAATTTAATAAATTAATCATGCATATAACATCATAAATGATATATAATTTTTTATTTTAAAATTAAAAAATATGTCTTCCTCTTCCTCCCCTCCCAAAAATACCTTAAATCATTTCCTGTGAGTAGCACATGATCTAACATATACTAATAATGTTTTAAAGTTAGAATAAATAGAGTATATACAAAGTGTGATCAACAAGACTTTATTTGTATCCTAAAATGCAATCTTGTGGATAATGTTGAACATTCCTATCTGCTACTTTAGGTCATTAAGAGATCTTTTAAGAAGACATGCTTGATTTGGTTTAGGAGGTGATACCTCAAGATTCAATCATGTACACTTCTTCATTCAAATTTCTATGGAAAAAACATTATCTTTTGAGTAAAATATGGTACAATCAAGTTAGTGTAAATACTAGTTGTGAATAGTTGCCAATGAAATAATCATTTTGAAATATGGTACAATCAAGTTAGTGCAAGTACTAATCGTCAATATTTGCCAATGAAATAATCATTCTGAGTGTTATTTGTTAATGCCACTTAAGAAAAGATGTCTAGGTAATCTATGCCCTCTACTTTGAGTGTATCTCATAGTAACAAGTCTAGCTTTACATCAATTCATAGTTTCATCTAGTTTATGCTTTTCTTTATACCCCATTTATAATTAATGAGTTTCTTGTTTAAAGGCATCTCAACTAGTTCCCATGTTTGGTTCCTTTCCCTGTGCATAAAGTTCATTCTACATAATTATTCTCCAACAATCATGTTTAACAACTTCTAAGTAACTTTTGTACTCATTTACAATATTTATATTTAAAGTAAGAAACTACGGTTATTAAAAGTACTCATTTACAATATTTATATTTAAAGTAAGAAACTACAATTATTAAAGAGATTGTTGTTGTAGATAGCATTAGATAAATGATAGTGTTTACCATTTCATCCTAATGATTTGATGCATTAAAGGTTGAGAAAAGACTTCACTGATAATCCTTTAGAGAGGAAAAATATTTCTTGTATCTATTTAATTATTTGTACATAAAGAGAAATTGGAAAACTAGTAAAAACATATTCTTCTATATTAGTTGAAATATTAAAGTGTTATCTATATTATTAGTGACATGGTCTTGAGTAAAATTCATTTAGAGAATGTGAAACATCCATTATTTGTTAAACACTATTGAAAGAGTTTTTTTAACCTTTTTTTATTTTTCAAAACATTTCATTCTTACAAATATTTTTTAACACATTTTCATCGTACCATTGCGACCCTAGTTGCGACACTAAGCTATCAATATTTATGGATAATTGATGCATTAGTCTTTTAAGTTGAATTCTTTTTAAGTGCTTAATTATTGTTGAATAAAAATTGAATGGATAATAATTGAATATATATTTTTAATATTATATGATGTATAAAATAACAAAGTAATATGAGAACAAAAAATAAATAAATAAAATTTAAAATTAACATAAAGTGTTTAAATTTTTTTTTGCTAATAAAAGTGTTTATATTTTATATTTTATAAGATAAAAATAATAATAAACTATTAAATAACAATTCATACGTAAATTTTATATAAAAACTTCTATTTATTTTTAAAAATGCTTAAAATTTAAAAACAAAAACAACTTTAAAAAAATCATTCATATTAGGACCACTAACATTGATTCTTATCTGGATTCTTAATCGATGACTTGGTTAATTTTAGTCCAATCGATCAAATTGACAAAATTTAGTCTGATTTTTAAAATTCTGGTCGTTGATAAAAAAGAAAGAAAAGGAAAGGTAAAAAACAAAACATAAAAGAGAGTGGTGATAATTTATTGTAGAAATAACTTTACCCTTTTGAAATAAATACAGTACCATCCTTCATAAGCTCATGATCAATATAATTTTTACTTATCAAATTGGTAGGAATATAAGTGAACACAATATGTTGTTGTTGTTATAAGAATAGTATAAAAATTATTAGTCAGAAAATTCAAAACAGTATAATTGCTTAGATAAGATAATTTAGTAGTGATAGTAGAAGAAAAGAATACTTTAATATTCCCTTGTTTAAGATTTTTTTTAAAAAGTAGAGGAGTGTCATTGGTTTAGTATTAAAAAAATTATTTTTTTCATAATTGAATGAAAATGTCAAGAAAAAAAACTAATCATAGGCAATAAAATTATTTCTTTTTGACTTTAAACAATGAAAAATCAATCTGTTCAGTTTAATCGTGTCCAGGTAGATTTTATCTAAACAAAATTCAGAGATTTATAGTTTCACCTTCATATCTTCACCTTTTTAATCCAAAGAAAGCAAATGAAAAATAAGAAATAGTTTTCTTTTGTTCAAGTGGTGAAAGAATTTTTTTCAAATATATTTAATACCACAAAATAAGAAATTAATAAATAGTATAGTTTTATTAATTAATGATATTTATTACAGTACCCACAAATTTGAAAGGATATTGTATATTTTTTCTAAATTAATAGTTATAATTCTTCTAATATCTTTGAAATTAAAAAATATTTATATATTTTTTAACTAAATTACTAAATCTATTATCTATTAATATAAAATTAATGGTAATAATTATTTTACGCATGAGAAGGTATAGAATACATTTTTAATTCATAAAGGATCATAAAATTTTTCCATATTTAACATGTAATAATGTTTTTATTGATTTCTTTTTTCTTTTTTTTCCCTTTTTATTTTTCAATTTCAGCAACGACTTTCTCATGTTGCCGAGCTAACATTGCCAAAACTGCATTATAGGTAGAAAGATCTAGAGCTACTCCAGTTTTATGCTCTTATAAACAGTCATGGGCTGGCTGTTTGAAGTTATTAGAATGTTGAAGTTGTCCCACGTGATATTATAGCATCATCTAGAGCTGTGACGTTAGATAAAGGCATGACCATTTTGTTATAAACGTTCAAAATGACATTGTAAGTGACGAGAAATTGCGCATCCATCATGTTGAAGTTATCAAGGGTAAGAGTGGTTACTAACGGTGGTGAGAGTGAGGTGGAAAACTTGATTACACCGGCTACTAAAAAAAGTTTATCAAGACAAGTTGAAAAATAAACGACAATTTGCCACCGAAGAATGCGACATTTCGGTGTCCTTACATGCAGGGGACAATTTGATTGATTCCCAGAGAGGACAAAGCTGAATAAGCAAAATAAACCAGACACGGACACTATTATCTTCTTAAAAAGCTCTCGTTCATTTGTTACATTTCCTCATCTTTAACCAAATCTGAATGAAATACACATTCAAAACAGAAGCAATGACATCTTGTTAACATAACAGAACCAATCCGAACGAATGCGTCGAGATGTTTTGGCGGGCAGCTCAACATAGATTGGAAGAAATTTCCAAGTTCCAACGAGTAAAATCTCCCTCTAGAATGTTGAGCACCGAATAGACAAAATGCAAAAAGTAGGTTACGCTATTCTATTGAAGCTTTAGGAATCAACACAATCAACACCGCTCAAGGACCCCACGATTCAAGAAAGGTCTTGGAGCAAAACATCATTAGCAAATGAACTAGAAAATCCAGAGCAATAACAAATGATCAAAAAGAAACTCAACTTCCCAACAGTAATACAGGGGAGCTTATATTAATCCATCTTTACCAAAGCAGACGAGAACCATATGTCGCCTCAAAATGCACAAGCAAAATTTAACTATGTGATCCACTTTTAATGGCACCATCTTCTTTTCCCGGTTGTGATGTTCTTCCATCAAGTGGGATACTGCCAACCTTCAAGAAACCAGAAGACGTAGCAAACCCATTAACTTTGACCTGCATCGAGCCTACTGTAAGAACATCAATTGGTTCCTTGTTAACAACGCCAACAGATTGTTTAACCTCTACCTGTTTTGGGGTAATAGTGACCGACCCAATCTTTAAAATAGAAGATGTGTCTTCTTTATCAACAGAAATTTTCTCAGCCTTATCATCCACAGACTTGATGCTAGTGACGTTAGAATTATTAACAATCTGCTCAGAACTTGAAATTGAGATCTCTTTTAAGCCATCGGAATCACCCTTGATCTTTGAATTCCTCTCGTAATTGTCTGGAGGTATGCCAACAAAATTCAACTTTCGGGAAGTTTCTAATGCTGGTCCAAGTAAGGGACCATCGAAACTCTTGACTAGCAACTTAGCTTTCTCATCCTGCATAATCTTCTCACGGTTTTCATAGTACATAAAATCATCAAGCAAAGATGTCTTCAAAGTATGACTTTTGAATATTTTCAGCATTTCCAAACCTTTCCAATACATTATCTGCACACAAGCAAGGGACGACATTAAATTAGTGTTACAACCTTAGGCATATATAATAGACATTAAAACCAATATCAAAACAATAATTTTAATGTAATAGCTTAATCCAGCATTTAAACCAATATATAAAATATGAAGAACCATACACTTGTTTCAACAGAATAAATTAATTTCAGGAATCATGCGTACTGCAGTGCTTTCACCCATATGAACAACAAACACATCCTCGTATCAATTAAATAATATTAACTTAAGTATCATGGTAATTAACTCATAAGAAAAAAAATCTAAAAAGCATCTATTCTTAATATTTAACTGCTGCTTTCAATTCTTGAAGCATTTTAACTCCACTTAAATCTTATATCCATATCCAACAATGCAGTTACCCAATCTGATAATTCTGCATTTGATATATCAGGACAATACAACGGATAAAATTCATCAATCTTTTTACACACAACAAATAGGTTGAGTGCAACTGGTCAAGTAAAAACATTAATATAAAATGTTAACAGAAGTGAACCTGCCATAACTAACATAATAAAGGAACCCTGAGCAGAAAGAATATATACCTCTTGCGTGTCTCTGCTATTAGTCACTGGCTTATTTTCATTGTTCTCTAAAATAATGTGTCTAAAATTTGAATTTGGCACATCTTTTATAATGTGCCACTTGACAGGAAAACTTCCACTCCATTTATCTTGCTGCCAAAAGTCCATATTCTTATTAAAATCAATTGTACCATTCATCTCTGCAACCCCACAGAATTGCCCACTTGCATTGACCTGCATTAAAAAAATACGAAAAAGAAAAGTCAGCAGGAAGGGGCCTAGCTTGCATACTGAAAATAGAGAATAGAAAATTGATATACAAATAATAAAGTATAAAAATTGATACTCATTGAACACATCGTGATAATAAACACTCAGACAAAAAACGGAAGATTTAGAAAATAGATATACAAATAATAAAGAATCAAAATTGAAACTAATTGAAAACATGCTAATAAACACTCACAGAAAAAAATAGGAAGATAGGGCAGACTCCAGATTTTTCAGCTGCTATTTTCTTTGCATCCTCGTAAGCATTTTCCAGCTTCTTGTTTCCATGAGGTGTAGATGACCAAACATTATATTTAATGCTTTTGTGCACATCGTCCTCACTGTATGACTTTATAACAAAAAACTTTGCATTTTCATAGTCAAGAGGGAAACCCTCAGTATTATATTGATCAGTATAAATGATGATGTTCCCCTGCTCGTTACCATCTCCTGCCTTGGTTGTATAGGCTTTCACAGACAGCTGATGTTTCGATCTACTAACTCTAGGGCCTCGATTTTGCTCACCCAATACATCAGAGCTTCCATTTCCATCACTTGGTATTTTGCCAATTGGAAGCTTAGGCCTAAGTTTAGCAACTGCGGACTGTCCACTAGAATTAGATCCAAAATCAGAAAACTCACTATTTGAAGCTATTTTCAATTGATTACGATGAGACATAACATTTCCATTAGAAATTGTATCTACAGGTTGGAATGAGGCACCAGAACTTCTATCCTACAAAACAGAACAGTTTAACAATCTATCAAATTTTCAAGAAAATCGACATTTTCAAAGCGGAAGATTGACATCAATTATCAAACCAGTAGACATCATTAGAAAACCTGAGGGGTTGATAGGTTTTAAAAAATGTTCACTATTTTAACTTTTAGTTTTCACTTTAATTATAATAATGCCACTTTATTTTCATTCAATTTCCCATTTTCAAAGAATTATACACGAAACAATACAACAATAACCAAGCCTTCTTCCACCAAGTGGAAAGATCAGCTACATCAATCACACGACACTATTAAACTTGATCAAAAACCAAGTTCTCAAAAATATTGTTAAGTTTTTCAATAAATCAACAATATTCCAGAGAATTTGGTTTTCGAGAAACAGAATTATATAGGAAACAATGAAATCAGAAAAAAAAAAGTTCTTATTGATTATTGTACAAACAATTGAAAGTAGGAAACAGAATAACAATTAGGTAGAATTTTTGTAATTAAAAATAAAAACAGAAAATGCTTACTGAAACCAAAAACTAGACTAAACTACCCGCCTAAAAGGCCACAAACTAATATCTATATACATGCCCCTCAAGCCATAGCTTAGTAGTCATACTCAGAAAAATTAACTTTGGTGGAAAAACCATTAACCAAGTATAGTAGTGGCAACTAATTTCACTCAGAAATATTGATTCTTATTTAACCATCAGCACAAATGAGCAGGACAACAATTCAAATGTAATCTAAAAAGTAGTACTCCTACCCGATGGACAGCTGATGAAGTTAAATTGAGAAAATTATTCCCAGAAACACTTGCACGTGCCAAATCTTGCTTCCTCCCATCATTAGATCTCGGCCCTTCTGACACCCTGGCCATGGAACTTGTCTGATTTGATAAAAATTTTGAAGAGTTCCTAGAAAAGTTACCAGAAGCTGAATTGAGCTTATGTTTCAAACCTCTTCCATCAGGTTTACTGACAGAAGCACTGGCTCCAAAAAAGGGGTCTGCAGAACTATCAGAAAAATTGTCAGGTAGAACAAGGGGAATATAACCAGGAGCAGAAACAGGGTTTTGATAATTGGGGACGGTGTAATAATGTTGTCCTCCTCCAAATGATCCATCAACTCCCACCATAGCACCAGGAATGTAAGGATTATATGGATTGTATGGAGACTGTGCATATCCATAACTATAATATACATATGGAAAACTTTCATTTTGTGCACCCTGAGAAGAAAAAAAGAACACCAAAATCAGCCACTGACCCAAAATAGGATATAGAGAAGCATGCGTTAAACTTACCGTGTACTGAATATTCGGACCATCTACACCAAAAATCCTATGGTGGTCCTCCCATTCCCCGGGTGATTCAAATCCTGAACACAGTAAATAACAGATAATCAAAGCAGTCCTCATCAAAACAAAAGCCTATAAAGCTAAAAGATTTACCTGTACAGTAATACCCATAATTGGTGGCAGCAGGGTAATACATGTTCTGATCAACAACAAACTCAGGGCCTCCTTCATTAATCATGACATCAGTTTGTTCAAGATTTGGGCTTATGAAGTGTGAATTTAAATCAGCACCTTCAACCTAAAGTCAAAATGGCAGACACATTATTGACTATCATACGGTACTGATGATGACACATAAAAACGATTGAAACCATTAAAAGAATGCTGAAACATAAAAGTTCAAAAGACAATAGTTACAAAATTTGTAAAAACTTACCACATGTGCATCTTGGTTTCTGGTTTCCGAAACATCATACGGTTCCATACCAGAACTGCCACCACTGTAGACAATCACAACAGCAGACATAACAATTCAAAATTCATTACAGATAAAAGATACAACACTAGACATAGACCAAGGTTTCCATCAACTAACAACACATAACCTAAACTACAGTATACACTATACAGAAATCCTCAAAGAACCTCTTCTCAATCAAGGATTAATACTCTATGAAGGAAAATACAAACGCGCTTCCAACAGCGGCATACCAAGAGAACCAAATTAAACCACATATACTGTACACACAGTAGCATGCTAAAAAGCATTGGCCAAACGGATTTCATTACACCCTCTGATCTTTCTTCTCAAACATCACCATATCAATCATATCAAATAAATTCATCCTGAGCCAAACAGTGTCACAAACCTAAATACACGAACCCAGTTTGAACTCTAAATACACGCCTAATCGATTCTAAGCAAATCTAACACAATTTCAACAAATTCTTCAGCTCGCTTAAGAGTCAAAACCTCCGAAATCCGAATACAGCTCAGTAATTTTCCAAGTAAGAAACCAATTTCACAACATCAAACAAATGAAAATTCAACCACCGCAAACCTAAACTAAAACACGAAATTCAGCTCTCACAGAGCACAACCAATAGCTCCGCATAAAAACAACAAAACACTGAAAGAACAAGCGCTCTTAACTTGCAACTGAAGCCACGTAAGATAAAACGAACAAAAGCGCGAAGAAAGAAAGAAACGATAAAAAAAACGAGAGAAGCAAAATTACCAGAAAAAGAGAAGAAGAGGAAGAAGAATCAATGCATGGTTGGTGAAGAGCGTGGTGGAGGGTTGGAATTGGAGAGGGCGAACAGCGAAGAAGTGGCTTCGTGCGACATTCTGTGAAGCGAATAAGAAACCCTAACGACGAACCGAAACGGTGAAGCTTTTGGCCTGAGAGGGAGCCGTTTTGGTGTGTGCAACAAAAAACCAGAATCAAGTGTGGAGTGAAGAGAGAGATTGTTTCACTCACTATTTAAGATACGAAGCGTTTCGCTATTTCTTATTGCTTTCTCTTTTCCGAATTTACCTGAATGCCCCCGTGCCGCTTCCGATACAACCAAAACGCCACTCCCAAAATGCCAACGCCGTCGTTTTGGCTGCTTGATGCGCACGCATGTTGATGGAGTTACCGTCAAGGCCATCACTGTCCAATCACGGGGCTAAGGTTTTCTGTTTTTCCTAGAATGCCCTTCCACTTTCTCCACCGACAATGCCTTTCGAGACGACGATTGGTGAGCGGTCGTAGTAGTAACGGGAACGGAATGTGAGAATAGCATTGCCCAGTATAGCCGAAAATGGGCGATGATTCCCTCGCTTTCTTTATCTGTTTTATGGGCTCCTATTACTGTTGTTCATTTATTATATGAATCATTTTAAATTTTAAAAATTCATTCTCTTATTTATTAATAAAAAATACACGTTTAAATATTAATTTGTAATTATAATTAATTTGTAATTATAATTAATTCATCCTCCCCTTTTTCCTAAACAGAAAAGACTATCCAAATATTCCGAATTCCAAATTCAACCAGCATCTCACAAACTCAAAGAATAAATAAATAACGATAAAAACTTTACAAAGATTTATTTAAACATTCTCTCAGTTACTATATTGTCAGAGGTATAGTGGGCGTGGCAGCCTGTTTGAAGTTTGATTCGGTTTAAGAATGTATTATTCTGCTTGTAAGATTTCTATATATACACTAGGTGACCATCAAATCAACCGTGTTTGGATTACTTTTTTTTATTAAAATTATAAATTATATGTGAAAGTTATTTTATTAATTTAAGCTTTCCTAATTACACATGTGAAACTGTTAACGCATTTTTAATTAATCGAGTTGGTAGGGTTTTGTAATGTATTACGAAATTTTTTCGGTAAAACTTAATACAATTGCTCTTTCCATCCTCTATATATATTTTTTACTTTCCATTGATTTTTTAAAAACCTATCTCAAAGATGGATCCTCCCTCTATTATTATTATTTTTTTCTTTTTTAAGTCCAATTCTGTCGATCTCCTTTTCGCATCTAATAATGACACTTATTAGATATATGTATATGACTAAATTCTTCTTGCAAGTAAAGTATCATAAAACAAGCCTTAGTTAAGGTACCTATGATCATTCATTAAGTACTTTGATGGAATGTGCAGGATAAAGAGCTTCTAGCACATTATGAGTGCACGCATGTGTCCTCACCTGAAGAACTGCTTTAACAGACCATCTAATATTTTGATCTCACTATGGTAACCAAACTTAGTTGGGAACTTTAGAAAATGCAACTAAAGAATTAGCAGAGTTGGAAACTTTTTGAGAATGAATGCCCTCATGACGAAGGTGCTTAAGTAAAGAGAAAGTGGATGCTTTATCCTCACCATTGAGGTGATTCTTGGAAGCACTTGGTGCTTAAAAGGACAATGTGCCTCGCTTTGGCCACCTCCAATTATCTATCTGTGTTTATCAAGGCACCATAGCACTTTTATGTGAACACAACGTACAAGCACTTGATCGAATAATTGACGTGTGTAGAGTTATATAATAGAAATCAAATACGGAACAATTAAAGGATACAGTTCGACACATCAAGTTCTTTTTAGCAAATTATATTTATACCCCTTAAAATTTAAAAAATTTTACTCAACACTCTTCATTTCTTTAACATTTTCTTTAACTTCCCTAAATTTATAAAACTATATAAGAAAAACTATGTATGGTAAATGCAGGTTTTACACTCCTGACTAAGCTGACTTTGTGTTATATAACTTACTTATTTTGCTTCTTTTGCATGTCTATCAGTTGCTAGCAAAACCCGAAAAGAAAAAGGTGGCACAATAAAACAATTACCCCAAAGTTCTGACTTGAGCTCTAGCCTAGTACAAAACAATAATTGATGATGAAATCTTGTACAATTGTTTATCTCAATTCCACAACTAATACAACTACACGAAAATATTAAATAATAATATGCCCTTCAATTCAACCTCAAGCTTGATGAGCCATCGCAAATAGATGAGAATTAACGATCTTCTGTTACCATTAAACAACTCTCACTCAACAATGCTGCAGTATATCATATTAAACTGTTCACTCAATTTCTAACACCCCTAACCCGCATATGAATTCTATCCATCATATAATCACCATGTAAAGACAATCTTAAACAAAAGAGAGAGGTTAATTTAGCCACCAGTGCACTCAGAAGACAAAAGTTAGAATTCCCTTCCAAAAAACATAAGTCGAGAATCAAACCACAGTTTTAGATATCAGAAGCTGATTGATGACCAAGGTCTGCTACAGCCTCTGGATTATCTGGATCATTACTCCCAATGGCAGGTTGCTGCTCCACGTTTTCAGTTCCCAAAAATGGATTCCCATGCGTGCCGGGAGACATGGTAAACATGCTTGGATCAGAAGCTCCAGCTTCATGTAGATCCTTCTGATCAGAAAGTTGTTGATCAGACCTATCACGCTTATCATAACTGGGGCTGTGACTCCGGCTAGGGCTGCGGCTGTAACTCCGACCACGGCTACGGCTGCGACTATGACTCCGACGTGGACTAATACTGCGGCTATAGCTGCGACTGCGACCACGAGACCAGCTGCGGCTACGACTGCGACCCCTGCTCCAGCTCCTGCTTCTGCTTCTACTTCTGCTGCGACTTCTGCTATAATCCCATGTTCTGACTCTTTCAGGGCTACCGCTATAACTTCTGGCTCTATTTCTGTAAGAAACATCTCTTCTATTGTCAAATCGTCCTCGTCCACGTCCGCGCCCTTGTCCCCGCCCATCCATGTTGTATCGGTCATCCATACCACGTTCACCCCTACCCCAACTAATATGACCTCCACGAGGGCCACCAGATCCCCTGCCCCTGTTGCCCCTACCAGGAAAGAAATCACCTCTCCCACCTTGCCCACTAGCTCCATCCCTCATGCCACCCCGACCACCAAAGCCACCATCCCTCATGCCTCCACGTCCACCAAAGCCACCATCCCTCATGCCGCCACCACGTCCACCAAAGCCACTGTCCCTCATGCCACCGCCACCACGTCCACCAAAGCCACCATCTCTCATGCCACCACCACGACCACCAAAGCCCCCATCCCTCATGCCGCCACCACGACCACCAGCCTCCCAACGCCCACCAACACCACCAGCAGAGTCAAATCGACTAATCCCACCCCGATCCTTCCCAAAATTTGGTGGCCCACGCAAGGCCATCTGTCTTAACTCTGGAAGGACATGCTGGTTAGCACCCTCCAAAACTTTGATTAGATCACCAGCATGTTTCCAGTCCTGCTCAGAGAAAAAGGTATATGACACTCCAGTAGCACCTGCCCTTCCAGTTCTTCCAATACGGTGCACATAGTCCTCTATTCCAGTGGGGAAATCATAATTGATCACCACCCTGTAACATGGAAAATTCACAAAATTCAACTAAAATCCATCATCACAACTTTCAAACAAAGCCAAGGGCACACTGTAGTAAATGATAGAATCATCATTATCAGGCACATGCAGAAGTCAAAAAAAATTTCATAATTTGACCAACTCAATTATCAATTAGAATATAAGCACTCCAGACAACTAGAGGCTAACCTTATATCTTTAATATCAAGTCCACGAGCAGCAACATCAGTGGCAACCAGAATTGGTGACTTTCCACTGCGGAACTGACTTAAAACCCAGTCTCTCTCACCTTGAGACTTGTCTCCATGAATTGCAGCAGCCCCAAAACTGCGGCCAATACTACGGGCAAGCTGATCACATAACCTCTTTGTGGAACAAAATATTATGACCTTAGAACCTCGTTCTTGGGATCTGAGGATTTGCTCCAAACGCCTCTGTTTCTCCATTTGTGGGACAACTTCAACATACTGCAAATTTGAAATCACATTTAAGCAAGAGAAAATGGAATACAAGTCACCAAGAAACTAAAGCAAAAATATTGTTCTTCATTTGGAACAGATTACAGAAAAATTCATCGTAGAAAAATCAAAATGAAATTAATTGAATGAAAATTAAATTCAGCAAATCAGCAACATAATAAATCAGACCTAAGCTGGATAGATAAATCCATATGCCACAACAAATGTATTCAAGACAAAGGCAATTAAAAAAAAAAAGTCATGCACATACAATTAATAGGTTGTATTTTTATTTCTGTAGGCAATTATGCATTCTTCTGTAAGGAAATATAATGTTTACAATAATATCCTTTCAATAAGTAGACCATTACCATGTGCTTTCAAAGTGCACCAAATCTAACAAAACATTTTGCCATCCTTCAAAAACTTCTAAAATGCAGCTTTCCTTAAAGAAGGGGTTTAACCCCCAAAACAATAGATAAAGAAAAGAAATGGCAAAACATTGATATCAGTGCACAAGGTCCCAATAGTTGTGGGGTTTGGGGAAGGTCAGATGTGTCCAGCCTTTTGTCCTCATGAACAGAGAGGCTATTTCCAAGATTTGAATCCATGAACACGGGGCCACAAACACAACAATCTTACTGTAGTGCCAACACTATATGACCACTGAATCACAAAACAATCTTATTGTAGCACCAAGGCTCGGTCTCTTAAGAAATAAACAAGAAAAAATAGGAGAAAAGTTTAGAAAGGAATGAAGCTCCAAGTATGTTAATGAAGATACCCATAGCCGAATGAAGGCCAATAGAATGCAATGCCTTCAAATCAAGTGCTGAATTGCAAAGCTAAATGACAGCAGCAAATAAACGCCTGTATCAACTAAATTATTTCACGAGTCATTAAAATTCTAACTTCATGAAACAGTAGGTTGATGGCATAACTCATTTACAAAACTTCAACAAATACCACACATTAATAATGATAATAACAACAACAACAAGAAGGTTTCTCTAACCTGTACAACATTGCATATAATAAAATCCTATGCATAATAAGTTTTTATTAAAATTTACAGAATTTAATGCAACTCAATTGCACAGGTTAGAATAATAATAATAAAATAATAATTGAAGTTTGTAGGAGAGTTTACTGGGGTATTTTAATGTTTGGATATAAATTTATTTTGTTTTTAACAGGTATCCCCACAAAAGTAGCCCCTCAGCCCAGCAATGGTTGTTAGGTAAATCCCTTCCTAGAGTGACATCTCCAAGATTCAAACCTTCAGCATTGCAAGTAAAGTTCATTTAGGTTACACTCCACTCCCACTATGACTAACCACTGTTGAGTATTAGTATATAGAATATAATACACAACGAATAAATAAAAGGAAGAAGTTAATATTCATACAGGGAAAATAAATTCATTGAAATTTGTAGGATTCACACATCATACTCAAATCCTGCAATAGCAACTTTCTAGAAGCCAGAAAAACATAGTTTTCATGCTTTTGTGGATCCAGAAAATCACTCACAGCATAAATATAGATTCAATGCAAATATTTATTGACAATATATTCCTCACTATATATGATTATCTTCCCAATTCTATACCAGCAAAATAACAGCAATTAAGAGTCACAAAAAATGAACATAAATTGATCACATTGCTAAGTTTGAACTTTCAAAATCAAAAGTATTGACAAAACAAGATAAAAAGAAGTACCATCAATTTTGTTTTGAAATGAATGGCAATTAATTGAATACCTGTGTGATAGCTTTATTTGCAGCAAGCTCATCCACACTTCCAATGTTAACCTGGACAGGATTAACAAGAAGATCGCTAGCAATTTTTCTTACTTCTTTTGGCCAGGTTGCTGTGTACATGAGAGTTTGTCTGTGTGGTGGAATCTCATTCACAATCTTACGTATTTGAGGCTCAAAACCCATATCAAGCATTCGGTCAGCCTCATCAAGCACAAGAAGTGAAACTTGCCCAAAGTCAATTTTCTTCATTTCAAGAATATCATTGAGCCGACCAGGTGTGGCAACAACAATGTCTGCTCCCCGATCTAACTCTTTTAGTTGAAGGGCTTTAGGTGCTCCACCATACAAGCACTGCAAAGGAAAAATAAATCAAGAGACGCACCAACAGATTAAGGCAAACATTTAATATACTAAAACTTAACAAAAAGGAAAAGATAGAGATACTCAGGACAAACCGTGCAAGAGACCCGTGAAGATCGTCCAAATTTGATGACCTCGTCTTGGATTTGTGTTGCAAGTTCACGTGTTGGAGCCAAAACCAATACAGTGGGGCCATTCAGAGAATTATTATGTCGTTGTCTAAGAAGAATGAAGGCAGGGATTAAGTAGCCTAATGTTTTCCCAGAGCCAGTTTTGGCAATTGCCACTATGTCTCTACCTTGTAGTGCAACAGGCCATGTTTGAGCCTGTATTGGTGTTGGATTTGAGAAGCCAGCAGAATATATCTGAAATGGAGTATATGGCAGGCAATCAGACAAATGAACAGTGTACCAATCCAATGCCTTTTGATTTAGAAAACACAAAATTACATTCAACAGTGTGATAATTTAGCAAACAATAAACAAAAGGACCCATAGGGTTATGGTTGCTTACTGAAGCAACTTGAGGCAATAAAAAAAGGCAAAAAAGACATAAGAGGCGGAGCCAATATGCAACAAATCCCAGGTCACATGGAAATTTGAATGAAGGGCCATCCACCCTTATAGAAGATGCCCAAGAAAGGCTCCAACCATCCCTTTTGCAGGCTCCAAAAATCAGGATAGTAGTTGCACGTGTAAGTGTGCCAATAGCAGATTAGCAGTGCAGCGTACGACATATGCTCCTGCTCTGGAGCAGATATCGCACCTGCGACAAGCGAGAATAGATGAGTTTAAAAGAAAAATTTAAGTTAAAACAATGGGGAAAATGAGTAAATCCATTACTCTTCTAGGAAGCACCAACACATGCAATACCATATAACAGAAGAATAATAAACTTACCTCTCTCAAGATCTCTGGAGGGAACCCAGTGGCGTCAAATGTCATGAAAGGAGGGGGAATGTTGTCACCCTGTCCAGTGAGACATAAATGTTGATATAAAGAAATAGCCCATAAAAAATAAACAAGAAAATTAAATTTAAAATAAATTTCGTAATTCTATAGGGAAATAAAAATATTAGAACAACTTTCTCCATTGAGAAGCACAAGCCATCCCAAATAGATCATATCATATATACTACATATGAACAAGGATACGCCTCATTTTCTTTTTTGAAGCATCTCAATTGTAAGATATAGGTAATAGGTATATTATAATAAAAAGTATGCATGAGTCTTGCAAAAGCTTGGTCTGTATTCTATTTTTATTAAGATATTTAAACAAATTTCATGCATAACTGCCAACAAAAGTACAGACCGTTGCTGTAACTTCATGTTGCTGACAGTAAATTTCAGCAGGTGAGAGATCAGTAACATCTGAAGATCCCATATAAGGAGGCCTCATCAAAGAGTTAGTTGAGAGAGGTGAAGGTCCTCCTATTGGAGGAGCAAACATGCTATGCACAGCATTCCCAGCAATGCCACTTCCATTTCCACTAGGCATTACAGTTTGAAAAGGAGCATTGCCAACCCTCATATCCTGCAAAGATGTTTTAAAGAGTCATAGAAAAAAAAAAATTATACATACACACACATATAAATAGGCAATAGAACAAGCATCATAGGGAGAAGTGGGGGGGATATGATGAAAAAACAACTGGAAAAAAAAAACCCTAACTGAAGAAAGGTATCAACCATAGTTATCAATCTTGGATATCAGCACATAGCAGGCAATCCCTAAAATGCTACAGTGGGATAGCAAATAGCGGGATAGTCACTTCTAAAATTTTTTATATATATTACATAACTTATGCTATGTATGAAAAGGACAAAAAATTAGGGGAAAAAAAAATAAAATTCATGACATATTCTAGTTAAGTAAAATATACAAGTATATAGCAATAAAACTCAGTGAAATAAAGAAGTTTGAGCCTCTAACTCAAGAACTTAAAGTAACAAAAAATTAAAGACCAAAAAAAACCAGAACTGAGCAAAGGAGAGAATTCAAAAAAATAGAAGAGAGAAAGAATGAACAAAACAGCCAGAAACCAATAAAAAACAGAAAAAGATAAGAAAAAACAAGAGAAGAGAACAATTTGCAGTCAGTAGCCAGAAAATAGAGCACTTGGCCAAAAACGCAGAACAGTGACCAGAGAACAGTGATTTGCCAGAAACTGGCTGGAAAACACCAGAAAGCCACTAGAGAGCGGTGAGTTGATGGGTTGCACAATAATAAAGGTTGAGAGAAAAGAGAGTGCCAAAATGGTAAGGGGCATGATTGGTTTTTCAAAACCCATTTAAAGCCCTTTTTATTTTAATCCAACCACCCCCCACAAACCCCACAAAACAAAAATACCCCCGCACACGGTTCTGCAACATTAAAAATTTAGGACATCTTTGGGTTTTCAACAAATTACAGTAGTGGCCAAGATGCATGCAAAACGACACAATTTCCACCACTGTAGCATCTGCGACACTGAAAGGCAATGCAACAGGCTCAGAATAGCAGCCAGCCACTGCAATGCGATGCAACACCTTACACCACTACAGCAGCTCTATCACGCGCTATTATGTATCAAGGTTAGAAAAGTGAAAACAGTAAAACATTAACTAATTTGCATTAATATGACATATTATTAAGATGATCATTACACAACCATAAGTTCCTTGCTACTAAGTGTACCACTGACCAGAATATGTTATTTTGGACATTCTAATTATGTTACCACTTTAGTATCACAATTGGAATTTTGATACTGGGTTTTTGGGTCTACTACAGGTATCAATGCACTAAAGGCATGCCTTAACTAATCCAGAAAAGAGCCCCATTAGCATGTATCTCACTAACACAGTTTGAATTGACAGTTGAGAGAGAAACTGGAAGGAGGGTAGTCAGTAGAAGAGAGAAAATAAGAAGATTATACCATCTTTTCCATAGTTATCAATGATGGCAAGCCATCCATAATAGCAGTGCGGAGCAGCCATATGTCACAATAAAATTTGAATAGCACAGCAGTTTTGAATAGCAGCAGCGGAGGCCGCAATAGCAGCCATAGTGCTACTATAGTGACGCTAGAGTAAAACTTCTCATAAAAAAATCATTTTGGCCCTAAAAAAGCACTGCTTTGGGGAATTTTTTTACTTTCACTGTTATTTACTAGTATGTTTTGCCTAAGAACTATGCCTTCTTATTTTTAATTATGAATGTGTCATGGATTTTGAGCTTTTATTTAATTTATATATATAATTTCTAAATAGCAGTCATCCCACTATAGTATTTTTGGCATTGGCCGCTACACGCCACTATCCAAGATTGATAACTATGATTTTTCACATGTGACTATGAAGCAAATAACAGGAAAAAGAGGGGGGAAATGGCAAAACCCTATATAATTCTCCCCCCCCCCCAAAAAAAAAAAATGAGAAGAAAATGAAAGTCATTAATACCCAACCACCCTTACATTAAAAGGATATAAAAGTCATTGACCATAAATGCATTTTTTCCCTCCAAAGAAGAGAAAGAAATATTAATAATTTTCATTCTCTCTTTTATCTCTTCAATCCAAGCAAAAGAAGATACGTGTTACTTTTCCTTATTTTCTTTCTTTTCCTTTCTTTGCATCCAAACAAAGCATAAAGGGGCAAGCCTTAGGTATTCAAACTACTTTTTCTGTGATTTTTGTCATCATGTGTTCCGATAAGGCCATATATACAAATATGTAAATATAATATTTACTCTATTTTTCTTTCTTGCATTCTAAGGGGAAGATGAATTTCAGACAAGTGCATCATTAATTGCAGTAATTTCAGTGTTTCACTAAGTAAAATTATCTTGTGGAGGGGACTGGGGATAGAGTGAAGGACTGTCAATGGCATTCTATTAGCATTGAAACAACTTCAAACATCAATTCGAGCAGTCAAACACCAACACAAATATGTTAATTACATTTTGAAATGGAGGAAACGGTTTAAAATTCAGAGTGGAAAAAAAAGTACCTGCTGATTTCTCGGAATGGGTATTTGAGCCATATTCGGCTGCTGACGACCCATTGTTGACATATCTTTGTTAGAATTATAGTAATATTCATTCCCAGCTCTACCACGTAAGTTATCCTCATGTCCCATCTTTTGGCCAACAGGATGTACATTGGATGGATGACCATGCATCATTCCTGCGCTCATCTGGTTTTGAAAGTTAGGACCATGAGGGTAAAACAAATCAGGACCACCTTGTTGTGGCTGCATCGCAGAGGGAGACTGTTGCACACTTCCTGATAAGGCCCTGAATTGCGGCGGTTGGCCAGCATTGGCACCTATATTAGGCACTTGACCAGAATTGGCTTCACCAGGAATGCTTTGGTTGTTTTGAACTGGCAAGCCACTCCTTTGTTGATATTGCGATGGTGAAAGTCTTACCTGGCTTCCATTTTTAAATTCCACTTCCTCTATCTTCGGAAATACTGTTTGTTGATTTTCAAAGGGCTGACTATGTATGTTATGTTGAATCTGCTGGGAGTTAGGTTGCCCAGGTGAGACCATGTTTGGCTGAAGGGAGTTTGGTGGTTGCCTAGATGTAATCATATTTTGCTGATATGACATATATTGCATGTTCTGGGGAGTGAATTGATGTGCTTGTGGTTGTACAACATGCGAGCCATGATCCTGAGGTGTTCCTTGCCCGAAATGCTTGGAATGGATTGCCTGCGGCAGCATCTGAGGATGCATTTGCTGTCCTTGAGGCTGCATCATCTGCTGTCCTTGGGGCTGCATCATCTGCTGTCTGGCTTGATGTAACCCAGGCTGTGGCTGCGCCAGTTGCAAGTTCTGCTGCTGTGCAGATTGAGCAACCTGAGAGGGCTGCTGCTGAGCAACATGCGCCAAATGGGGACTCTGCTGTTGCTGCTGCGGCATCGATTGACCGTGCTGTTGGGCATGGTGACCAATCTGCTGTTGTGAGGGTTGCACTTGCACCAACTGCTGTCCATGCTGTTGCACCATCCCACCAGACTGCATTGAATGAGCAACAGGTATAGGCGCCAAGCTCGGCACAGAAGCCATAGGTGCAGGGCCAGACGGCAAAGGTGGGGTCAAGGGAGCTGGTTTTTCATACTGTGTAACATTAGTTTCAGGATTCCAATAGTATAACAGACCAGTGCTTCCATCAATCAACCCCTTCCACGGTTGTGGAAGGGTGGGATCGTCAGGTGCATATCTGGGACCAAGCCCAGCAGAAGCTGCCTCCGCCGTTGCCATTTCAAATTCGTATATCTATCTCTACAATCAAAAACCATTGTTCAATCAACAACATACGCAACATTCAAAACCTATACAACAGAAAACTTAACAGGATTAAATTTGAATTTAACCCCATCAGAATCTGATGGTTTTCTACATAACGAAAAACAATCCACAATTTATTTACTCTTCCTTAACAGGATTCAACACGCAACATTCACGACTTAACAATCTTGAATTTGAATCTAACCCCATGAGAATCTGATGGTTTTATATTCCTTAAAAACTTGAAAAAATGAAATAATAAACATCCCATGAACCCTAAAAAAGAATAAGAATATTGTTTAATATTATAAGAAGAGTGTGTAGCGAAACTTACCTCAGCGTAAAAGCTTAGGTGAGTGAAAATCTATGAGGGTATATTGTTAGTGATGAGAAAGCATGTTGATGTTGGTGTTGTGTGTATTTGAAGAAGCAGAAGAAAAACACGGCAAAAACAGAGGCAGCGTTGGATGAATGAAAAATGTGAACGGGTTAGGGTTGAAGGGAATGAAGATGGAGGAGTGTGTGCAATTTAAGGCGACTATACAATGGACCATACGATTGGGAAATCACGATGTCTATTGGACGGTTGTGATCGTCGCATGCTAATGTGGGTCTGTGTTCCATCCTATTTGGACGCTCCTGATCACTCTCTGAAGTATGATTTCTCAACTTTCGACCTTTGCCGTTGGATTTTTTCAACGCAGAATTATACTTGTTAACATATTTTAGCCCGTCTAAAAAATGCAGAATTATACTTATTAATTAAAAAAAGATAAATTAAATTCGTTATAACATATGCATACTAATTTTTAATTTTATTAAAATATATTATTTAATTTTTAAATATGTTATAAAGTAGAACAATAATATTTTGGCCGATACATGCGGAAATTTCATGATGATTTTTTTTCAAACTAAACCTTTATCTTTGCAAAAAGAATAACACGTGTAGCATTTTAAGAAAAAAAACCTAGCAACAATTTAGTATTAAAAAAAAGATGATAAGTGAGAGTTTCGAATATACTTTAGGCAAAAAAAATATAAAATAAAAGTTATCACGAATAAAGGACAGTTACACAACACTTTAAAAGTAAAACTGTTAGTAAATTTACTATTCTAATTGAAATAGTTACAATTTTATTTAAATTAAATTATATTTTAACATAAAATTTATAATTTAAGTGTTAAAATAAATTAATATTTGAATGAATTTGACGCAAAATCAAATGTGCTAATAACAAACATTTTGTCACTCGAATTAAATATATTTTTTTTACAAATAAAATATGTGATACTTTTAAAAAGTAGCCCTAAAAAAGAAAATGTCACAAAATAAAAGAATGGTCATCTATAGTGTTTTAGGAGAAAAAATATGTCAACAATTTTATTATAAACTAAGAAAACAATATCCTACTTAAGGCATGAGGCAACTTAATTACTAAAATTGTGTATTCTTTCTCAAACTATATATTTAATAACTATTGGTTCATTTAAATGTATTAAGCACGTATCGAATGAGAATTTATATATATATATATAAAATTGAGAGAAACAAACATTGATAATTGAATCTTAACTTAAATAATTAAGAATAAAACGTATCAATGATATAATTCTTTTAAAAAGTCACCATCTTTTTAAGAGTGATCATGTAACTTCTTAAATCTTTTAATCTTACTAATCTCTATTTCTTGTATAAAAAGTCTCATTTCATTATATACATTTATTATAAGGAAAAAACACTTTAAGACATGTGAGAGTTTTGTAATAATTTTTTTTTCTCCACCTAAATCCTTTTATTTATAAAGAAAATACCACATGTTGCATTAAAAAAAAAAACCCTAATCACAATTTATTATAAATTAAGAAAATAAAACTTTAGTCAAAAACATGTAACAACTTTTTATTAATTTATTTATTTTATTCAAATTAAATTGTTGTTGTATAAAAGAGATATCACTTTTAACCCTTACTCTACAAAAGCATTTATTACAAGGACAAAAACAAAAAAACAAAAACCATACGTAATTACGGTATTTTTTTAAATCTTTAAAATCCTCTCATAGTTAGTTTTATGAATTTTTCAATTATGATATTTTTTTTCTTTCTTACTCAGGATTTTTTTCTCCCATTTTTTATACTCTTTTACTATTAATATTTTATTTTATTTTTCTAAATAAATTAAATTTTAAGATGAATTTTTTAATAATTTATAAAAAAATATTAATTTTTAAAGAAAGAAAAATGTTTATTTTTTATATTTTAAAAAATATAAATAAAAGATATAAAAATAATAATATTATTTTCATAATTAAACTATGGTCACCCTCACCTCTCATTATCTAATATTCAAACAAGTCTGATTTCTCATCTCTTCTCTCTTTTTCTTGCTTCTTTGTTCTTTCAAGATATTACATTTTCTTCCTTTTTAAATATTTAAAAAAATCTTCAGAAAAAAAATACTTAATGACAAATTTATTAAATTTCTATATCCTAAAATTAAGTAATATATTTTTTGATTTACCATAAACTCAACACAATAAAGTAAATAAATAAATATCATTGTTAATATTTATTATCATGCCTATAAATTTAATAAATATTATATATATTAAATTAACAATTATAATTATTTTAATATCTTAAAATTTTTAAAATATTTTTATTTTTTAAGATAAATTACTAATCTCTCACATTTTATTATATATAATCAATATAACATTAATAATTAAAATCTTCCACGTATGAAAAATATAAAATATTATTTTAATCTTAGAATTTACTAAATATATTACTTTCATGTATAAATTAATCTAAATATTAGACATGTGTGAGTGTTTTATGGTAAATCTTCCCGCGTTTCTCTTTTTTTTTGCCTTTATTATATTCTGCATTTCTATTGACGTGAAATAGTTGGGGAAATAAGGCAAACGAGTCGACCCGGAAATGACACGAACATTCTACGGAAGCGGTTACCACATGACAATACCAACCTTCGTTCAAATGCTTGTCTTCGCTCTTACGAGTTTCGGAATCGTCTTTGTTTGTTAGCTGTCACAACACAACCATTCTTAGCATACATAACATAACATCTAGAAAGATCAAGTTTTTTGTTATTATCAATGGCCATGGAAGCTGAGGCTACCACCACTCCACAGTTGGCGCTCGCTGACACAGATATCAACTGGGACAGGTAGTTACTTAACACACTCTAAATCAAATTCAAATTGACGATAATCTTAGTTGTGTTGTGTGTGTGAATTTGAAATAAGGTTGGATAAAACCAAGTTTCACATCATTGGTGCGGTTCTCTTCACTGCTCAATCAGCGTTGCTTCATCCAACAGCGGTGGTGAAGACACGGATGCAAGTGGCAGGCTCACACGTGCCGGGAATCTCAGTGTTCACTCACATTCTACGTAGCGATGGCATTCATGGAATCTTCAGAGGTTTCGCCACTTCTGCTATTGGTTCAATGCCTGGGAGGGTTATCGCTCTCACCTCTCTCGAGATGTCAAAGGACATCATGTTAAAACACACCCAAGGTTGTCACATTCCAGAAGCTTCTCGTGTTGCCCTCGCTAATGGAGTGGCTGGCATGTTCTCCAATTTGCTCTCTTGTGTTTACTTTGTGCCTTTGGATGTGGTACTCTCATACAACTTATTCCTTTTCTTGTTTTCATGCTCTTTTTCGATTGTCATCACTGTTAGAAATAATAATTTTAAAAATAAAATATTGCATTGGTTATAAAAATGAAAAGTTATGTCATAATTCTTTAGCTATGATATGAATATTTTTGTTTGTAATGGCTTGACATTTAATGATATAATGTGTCAATTAATTGATATTAAATAAAGGTTCATTCTATAATAGGACTATACTAATAAAATTCACTATTTTCTATTATTCTTCTCTTTCTACCTCTAACAATGACATGGGTGGTTATCATTTTTTTTTCCTCAGGTTTGTCAGAGGTTAATGGTTCAAGGTCTTCCTGGGACTACATATTGTAGAGGTCCATTTGATGTTGTCCGTAAGGTTGTGAAGACTGAGGGTTTTCGTGGTTTGTATAGGGGTTTTGGATTAACGGCTGTGACTCAGTCCCCTGCATCTGCACTTTGGTGGGGTTCATATGCTGCAGCCCAACACATAATTTGGAGGTGCATTCTGTGCTCTCTTGTTCTAATGCTGCGTTTGGATAAATAAGTACTTATTGTTAAATAAAAGTTTATAACATGATAACTTATCTTTCATTAGTCTCAAGCTTATTTGAAAAAAATAGTTTATAGTGACAAGTTCACATGCTATAAGGTCATAAGTCGATTTTATAAGTCAAAATGTGTCTTATAAGTTTTTCGAAGCATCTGCTAAGTGTGTTTGGAAACACATTGAAAGACCTATAAACATATGAGTAACGGTTAATTCAACGTGGATCCATGATCCCTCAAATGTGAATCCAAATTCCATACATGCACCTAAGCCTCTTTTTTTTTTTCTTAATTCATGTGCATGCTTATTGGTTGTAGGAGTTTGGGCTACAAAGATGATATGGAGAACAAACCTTCACATGTGGAAATGGTGACAGTTCAGGCTACTGCTGGGATGGTGGCTGGTGCTTGTTCCTCTGTTATCACTACGCCCATAGATACAGTAAAAACACGTCTTCAGGTATATGAAATGAAATTTCTTGTTTATAGGATTTGGTGTTGTTTGAGAAGGAAGTGTTTTTTTAGTTTAAATTTGTATTTATATGTCTGTCAATCAATCAGTTGGTGTTTCTTTTATTGAGTAGCTCTTTCTTCTTTTAGTCTTGACTGTATTATGGTTGTTTTCAATTTGCACAAAGGTTATGGACAACTATGGTTCTGGAAGACCATCAGTAATGAAGACAGCAAAGACTCTCCTTAAGGAAGATGGATGGTGGGGATTTTACCGGGGATTTGGACCAAGATTTTTAAACATGTCACTTTATGGAACAACGATGATTGTTACTTATGAACTGATAAGTATGTCACTTCTTTGCTTATTTATTTTGACATCAATTATATTTTGAGAATTGTTAGGTGATATGAGCCACGCGTGCCGTTTTTTGGTATATTATTCACATGATGTGATTTCTACTTGCTCCTTTATGTAGGGGAAATTCTTGATCTAAGTAAGCTTTTAGCTTTAGTTCATAACTGTATGTTGAGAACGTTTATTGAATTTGAATTGTGTCAAAAACCTTAGCTGATTTCTGACAAAAATGGCTCTAATATATTCCTTATTTGTCTTTCTTTCAACTTGCATGTGCTATTATAAAGTAAGCCGTATTTATTTTCTCATTTAACCCTTTTGGCAGAGAGATTATCAGTTCAACCAAGTATGAGGTCTTTCACATAAGAAGTGCAATTGTACTGTAAGACCAGAGACAAAGACTCATCAAGCTTGATTTTAGCATGTTTAGCTTGTGCTCAAGGACAGCAAATTGATGGATCCCTTCAACCTCAAGCACTATACGATGAAGTATAACAAAGCCTAATCACTCTACCTTTTCTCAAAGATGTGTTTCATTTTCTATATTTTTAATGACAACATAACTTTCGCTTCTTAAAAAGCTGTACTACGTGAATTTTTGTTTCTTCTGTGAGCTGTTGGGGTAGGGTGGTATATGGAGAATGATAGTTTTTAACTTTATTCTTCATTCCAAGGGCACTTGTAGTACACAGCCCAAATTATCCGGGCAATTTTGCAGATAATGTATGATTAGTGATGTAATGGATTTAATGTCTTCCTTTGACATTTCAATTCCGTCAACTTCTAATTGACATTATAATTCGTGGTTTGTTTGCAAATTGAACAATATTTAGGAGAGGGATTCTACAGCAGAATAGAGACTGGCTGAATTCTATTGGCATATTGCATATAGAAACGCAAGGGCTATGAAAATTTCCAATAAGTTGCTTGATAAATGATCTCAAACTGTGAGTTGAAAACTGTCAAAACTCAAAAGTCAAATATTGAATAATGTTGCTAAAAGTGGGGCATATTTGGCTACAATGTATGGTGGAATCTGAGCTCATTGGTTAATTCCTTGATATTTGTTTATGGTCCCTTCAAAAGCAAGCTTCCTTTGGGTTTTCAGAGCCTTGTGTTGTTCTTCATCCCAATGTTTTTGAGTCAAGTAAACTTTTTTGTGCAGCAAAAACTTAACATCGATAACTGTCTTAGTTAGATGTCTTTCAGTTTTGGTGAAAATTTTGAAAGTTAAATTATAAAAAATACCATCTTCCGGAAGCAATTTTGTGAATAAGATTACTATGAATAACAAAACTCTCCATTCTTGTATATGCAAGGGTTGGACGTTAATGTTGGAAATTTCATTTTTTACCAAGTTATGTTTTCCCCTTTTCTGCATTCATGTGTTTGTACCGTTTATATAGTAGATAGATCGAGATCTTAAGAATCTGGCTTTGAAAATTTCTTTCTCTTAACTTCTAATATAGAAAAGTTGGTTGTTTGAAAGAAATTATACTAGACCCAAAAAAATGAAAGAAATTTAATAACTTAATTTTTTAGTTTTAACCTTCGATGTTCAAAAGTTGAATTCTAATTAATTTGAGTTGAGTTTTTATTTATTTATTTAAATGATTCAAACTTCAGATTTTCGTTAAAAAGAAGTAAACTTCTTATCACTTTGTATTTTTCTCTCATATTTTAAGTACAACAAATATTATTAATTTCACTTATTTTCACATTGAATTCCGATTTTGGCGTGGCTTTTTATAGAGAAAGAGCGAGTACTAGTTGCTTCTGAATCTAAATCTCTATTGATTTATCTCTCTTATCATTTCTCATCGTGTAAGTTCGTCTCCTTTTGCAGTATGGATTCAATTCCTTTCATTCATTTTTTCTGTTTTATTCTTTCTAATGTTTTCAAATCCAAATTTGTGCATAAGATTTTATCGTTTGATCCAATCATGACCACAGTGTGAAATACATTTCTTTCTTCCCCTTTCCGTTTCTATTTTCCGGTTGTGACTTAATTTAATTCTCTTGTTTGGATTGTATGCAATTGAACCACTTAGCATGTCATTGAATTGGGCTTACAAGGTACATAATGTTTGATCATACAAATCCATGTGACTTTCATTTTTAAGATTTTGCAACCTAAGAATTATTCCCTTCAGCTAGGGACGAATAATTTTTTAAGTTCGATTATTTTACTAAATTTAAGAATTAAGATCTAACATTTGCAATTCTTCCCTGTGTAAGATTCCACGCATTGTAAATCATGGATTTTTTGGTTTTCCATGATCACTCAGCTTGACATTAATAAGTAACCCCTCTCTCCAACGCTGGCGTTATGTGTAACTTTTGCTACTTAGGAAAATGTGATTTTGGAATCGCACCCATTAGAAACGTAGTTTCATTACATAATCACCCATATTACGCATAATATTGTTAGTTTTTTAGATTTAAAATGTTATATCTTACCTATCAAAATCATTTTCATATAGTTTGACGTTAATTCAAAATTATTTTACTATTATGATTGTATCCTTTAATTTACTCCAATTTTGGGTTATTGTAATGGCAGATACTCAATGGGGTTGTCTTTTGGCAAGGTTTTCTCTCGCCTCTTTGCTAAGAAAGAGATGCGAATTCTTATGGTTGGTCTTGATGCAGCTGGAAAAACCACAATATTGTATAAACTCAAGTTAGGGGAGATTGTCACCACCATTCCTACTATTGGTATGTTTTATTTTCAATCTTATGTGATCCATGAAAATACTTTTAAACTATTGAACATTTTTATTGCAATACACTTGTTTTATGACATTATTGCATTTTTGGATTGTTTACATGATTATATATGCAGGATTTAATGTGGAGACTGTGGAATATAAGAACATTAGCTTCACTGTGTGGGATGTTGGTGGTCAGGATAAGGTGATCATAAAATCTCTCCCCTCTGATTTTTATTTGATTTTTGACCGTTTTTGAACCTAGACATTGTTCTCACTTCTCAACTACTTTAGTTGTAGACAATCCCACAGGAAATTTTTTTAAGTTTTCGTAGAGACATACTCCTTCTCTTAAAATAGCAATACTCACTTTTGTAAGGTAAATTTTTCTCTGATTTAATTTTTTAAAATTAAAAATAAAACAAGTAAAGAAAAAGTAGCAATACTCACCTTTGTCCAATAGTTTCCATTTTAACCTAAAGCCATGATGATGTTTTTCTCAATATGAAAGTGGGGGTGTTAGGAAAGTGGCTTGAAAGATTGTGTTATGCTTGATCTGCAAGGATGCTCCAATATGGTTTTTGTTTTTGTTTGTCTTGACTCCTAGTCCTAGATTACACTAGAATATTATTTGCTACTTACTTGAAGTACCTGATGGTAGTTTATGTAATCTACCTAAGTAGTTACTACCCCATTATTGAAATTTAGCATTTATTGCCACGGCCATGTTAGTCTTTGTTATATATCTATTTCTATCAACAACGGTTCAAGTGCTTGTTTGTTTCAGATTCGACCATTGTGGAGACACTACTTCCAAAACACACAAGGCCTTATCTTTGTGGTAGACAGCAATGATCGAGATCGTGTTGTTGAGGCTAGAGATGAGTTGCACAGGATGCTGAATGAGGTGTGTGTGTGAGTGTGCGTGCGGGTGTAGTTTTAACTGTTCTATGAAAATTTCCCTGCTAATTTGGTTTCTTTCCATGGATAGGATGAATTAAGTGAGTCTGTATTGCTTGTTTTTGCAAACAAGCAAGATCTTCCTAATGCAATGAATGCTGCTGAAATCACTGATAGACTTGGTCTACACTCTCTCAGACAGCGACACTGGTAAATAAAGTCCACAAATAATGGTCATTTTTACTCCTCTTAAGTCCTCACAAAACATTAAGCATCCTTGACATATGTGCATGCATGTTTTTCCCAGGTATATCCAAAGTACATGTGCTACTTCTGGTGAAGGTTTATACGAGGGACTAGATTGGCTTTCAAATAACATTTCCAGCAAGGTTTCCTTTAAAAAATAAAATTGTTTTGGTCTAGAGCAAGGTTGAGTGCTGCAGTGACATTCTTTTCCCTCCTAGTTACTGTTTTTATCTGGTGCTTGCCCCCTTCTTTCAGGGTTATTAAAGATATCATGGGATGCTGATACTTTTCCGGAATGTGATGGCAACTGACTTTCGGATTGTTGGCATCAATGATGTTGTAGATTTATTATTACCCCTTTTCCATTACTTATACAATTGTCATTTTGACCTGTGTAATCTGGTTTTAAAATAAATCCTATTCATCCATGATGTTGAACTTCTAGCATGCATTTCCAATATTTTTTATGTTATATTGATATTTAAAATAAATGAAAAAATGCCTCTTCCCTACATCTCCCTACTCTCTTTCTCTCTCTCATGGCTCCCAATGTCCCTTCTTTATTTTCTCTCAAAATAGATTTTTTTTGTGTGGTGAGACCCACATATCCTACCAAAGTTCTCTATTCCCTCTCTTACATACAATTCAAACAGAGGATGCTTCTTACTTATCCTTTACTTTTTTTACCTTCTCCCTGTTTTTTTTCAACATCTGAACAAAGTGCAAGAGAGGTATCAAAGGAGAGAGAATACACAACTACGGTTGATGAAAACATCTCCAAATATAGTTTACCATTTTCTACAAAATCCTATCTAATTACAACTATAATCAATAGCATAAAGTGTTGTTGAAGCAGATAGTTCTTATTTCCTATGCAACTTGTGACTCTCTTCATAGGATTATTTTAGAAGTGACTCAACTTTTGCCTTATTACGGCAAATTTATTATAATATTGTAAATTAAAAAATAATTTATTATTTTATAGTAAATCTGAAACAATTTTTCAATTTAGAGTTTTTTTGCCACGTGGATCAAATTTTCGCCAAACGACTGGCGAAAGTATTAATTTTTGAATTTTTTTAATATCTATTTCGCCACAAAAAGTATGAAATATGACTTCTTAGAACGGTTAAATTAAAACCGCTCTCACAAGTCTATTTTAAAGAGCAGTTGCTCATGAACCGCTCTCATAACTCATTTTAGAGAGCGGTTCCTTTTGAACCGCTCTCAAAAGTCATGTTAGTGAGCGGTTACACATGAATCGCTCTTAGAAGTACATATTAGAGAGCGGTCCTGCAGGAACCGCTCTCTTAGGTATATACAGTAACACGTGTCTCCAAACTATTGTTGGTACTGGCAAAAGAATTTCGTCAACTGAATTGTGAAATGTATAAGAATTTGACACGTTTCACGTAAAGTATAGTTTTGCATATTTGATGGCAAAAATTTTCTTTTAATATATTTTTAAATTAATTTCGTTACGGGACTGGCGAAACGAATAACGAATTCTTCATTTTAGTGGCGAAATTGCACACTCCAATTGCAAAGTTTGAACGTTGTATATATACCCCAACCCTTCTCTCATTTTCACCGAAAGGACACATTAGAAGAAAATCTCAGATATGTGTTATTTAATAATTTTATTATTTAATTTTGAATGTATAATTTTAGTTATATTTAATTAATAAGTATTGTTTATTTTATTTATGTTAATTATTGTAAAGTTTAAATATTAAATAAAGTTTATTTGAATAAAATGCAGGATGAGTGAGATTGTTATTATTATATATTGGAATGGTAGAATCTATGAAGGAAATAAAGGAGTAAGTTTTGAAGGAAGTAAAAAAGTAATTCAAATAAAACGAGGAATAAGTTATGAAACATTGAAAAGAAAAAAGCAGCGCGAATCATCTCAGATGTTGCCACGTGTATCAAAATCTCTCCAGCCGTTCATTTTAAATCTAAGAGAGCGGTTCAGGCAGGACCGCTCTCTAATATGCACTTCTGAGAGCGGTTCAAATGGAACCGCTCTCTAAAATAGAATTATGAGAGCGGTTTTAAATTAACCGCTCTAAGAAGTCATATTTTGTATTTTTTGTGGCGAAATAGATATTAAAAAATTTAAAAATTAATACTTTCGCCAGCCGTTTGGCAAAAATTTGATCCACGTGGCAAAAAAACTCCAGATTGAGAAATTGTTTCAGATTTGCTATAAAATAATAAATTATTTTTTAATTTACAATATTATATCAATAATGAACCCATTTGTTAATTTTTTCCATAAAAAACACTTTAATTTTTTTAAAAAAAAAATAGACACTGAAGTTTTTAAGATTGTTTGGTTAAAATTATGAAAAACTCAAAAACCATAAATAATTTAATTTTAACTTTTTTCGAGAACTTGTTTTAAATAACTTCTAGAAAAAAGCTGAAATTATAACTATCTACTAAAATTAAAAAATATTTTTTTATAATTGTAAACGAACAAAAAGTAACTTCTAATTATTATAAAATCTCTAAAAAAATCATTTTTATATATTTTTAAAATTATATTTTTCAAAAGTTGAGACAAACTAGTCTAATAATATTTGTATTCATCTTTGTAGTTTTGATCCACTACACAAAATATGCTATTACACAAAAGATTTTACTCTTAGTACATAAAGAATAGTGCTTTAATCAGGTTTTAAGCTCCTATAACACTTTTCTTGACAATGAATTCACATATTTAAGGTTTGATCTTCTAAGCTTTACGAAGATCACAATATTCTTTCCTCTTAAAAAGGGACCTTACATTTTTTGCCCTTTTTAATCCTCTATCATTAGTTATTGCCGATTTCCCAGGAAAAAAATGTTGTCATTATAGACCATAGTAGATCAAGCACAATACAAATCCTAAAGAGCATAGTAAAATTTCTCCATTTGTCCCATATAATGTTGAATAGAGAGATTAATGCATTCTTTCATTCATACAGATAAGAGGTCATATCTTAAATGACTACTCAGAAATATTACTGGTTATTGAAGTGTGGATGAAATTTACACTACCAGAACCGCTTCCTTATTTTGCTTCCTATACTTCATAATCTGTAGCACTCAGTGCAATCATTTGTTAAGCATGCCAAGAATGACATGAGCAGTGTCATTGAGCCACACCATTTTTTGGTTATCTTCTTTCCAAGAGGACAGTGAATCCTCTAAATGCACAATCTCCATTGTGCATTCATCTGTCGACATAGCAGCATCATTCACAAATTCAACCATGCCCTTGTAATCCTTCTGGTTTGATAAACGATATGCACCTTGTAAATGTTTAAGAATAGCATCATAATCAATCTGACAATTCTCAAGATGGGTCTTTGTTTTGGGATCATGATCAACCATAGTTTGGATAAGCTGTTCTACAGCATACTTGTTCAAACGAGCTTGTGCTGAGGCCAAAAGTATTGAGACTATGCCAAGTTCGTTCAAATCAACTTTTTAATCCCCTAAAAAAATTCTTCGAGAGAGGTTACACAAAAGTCTGGATTTTGAGTTTGACAACAAATTTCTTTGATTCGCTTGCGGGAGACGTTGACAGTGTGTGAAACAAAAGTGAAGTTGAAGAGAAAAACAATGTGAAAAGAAGAACAAAGGGAACAAAAAGATGTACTGTGGAAAGCCATTGGTTGAATTCACTTGGATAAGTAAGCTGTATCCGTTTTGTTTCTATTTATTAAATAAACGTGTGTTTAAAGATGCACATTAAAAAATCTACAATAAACCAATATTAAAATTCATAAGATCCCACAAAATATAATACATTGATAATATTAAACACTATAATTTTCAATAAAAACTTTAACTTTTTTTATTATATGAGTAAAGAAATGGTTATATAAATACTAAAGGACATGAAGAATGAGCGACAAATAAGCTTAGAATCGGGAATTCATGCATATATTACTACCTACATTCTTGGCACGATGATGATGGCATCACGGGGAACCATTTCATTCGTTTTATATGGTTAATTATGAAGAGCCTTTCTTAGTACTCACTTGCACTAGTCATGTTCGTGAGGGACATGCAATGATGCAACCAAGCACTTCCATAAACCGAGATGTCCCGGGAAAGAACATGTTTGTTTGTCAAAGACTGCCAAATTAGTATATAGTTCTATTTAAAAATTCTCACCCAACTCCCAATTTAATAGTTATAAAAAAGCATAGATAAGAAAACTTTGTACGGGAGGAAGAACATTTTAACAATAGTTTGAACACAATTTTTTCACACAAAAAACGATATCACTTGGGGTTACACTCCTAAAATAACTTATATGACAATGATAAAATAAGAGTAAATTTTTCGAATAAAAAGTTACCTAAGTTGTTTAAAGTAAAAATAAATTATATATCATGATAAATTCCACAAAAAAATATAAAATATGCACTTATTGAACTTGGCTAAATTATACCATTATTTATGCTTTAACTATGCAACCACTTGAAGTTCATTATTTTATTTTATTTAATATTCAACGGAGTTTAAATTCCTATTATTTTATTTTAAATTATACATTGATAGACAACTTTTATTTTTCTGATTTAATATGTTAACAATGTATACTTACACTTCATCTGCAATCACATGCTCTAATTCATGTGTTTTACTTTAATGATTTATATAATCTTTATTGAATATTAAGCTGATCAACATAAAATTTATTTCTTTGTTAATGAAAGAGCTCTGAATTAAATAATCTTGTGAGTAATAATAAATTTGTTTTTATACTCATTTAAATGCTAAAGCAAATTACAAAACAAATATATTTCCATGTGCTGTTGTGAATAGAGTGGCCATAATCCCTTATCCATTATCAGTAGCAAAAGCCTTGATGAAATTGCAGAGTGAAAATTGAACAGCAATGGCTTCAGTAGCTTCATCTTCATCGTTTTCCACCAGGCTTCTTCTGCACTCACCCACAGTTCTTCTGGGTAGCAGAAGCGGACCCAATTTTGTGAGGATGGTGACTCGCTCCTGTCTCGATGACAGTTCTGCTCTCCTCCGAGCAGCACAATACACTGTATGAACTATCAATTGATGATTATCATTGTCTTCAATATTCACACTTTGTTCATTTTGTTGTATTTTACTGAATTTCATGAATTTCCTGTTTTTCATGCCAATTTAGTGACTATAATTATAATGTTTCTTGCACTATATTTTTTGCAATATCAATCAAAATCGTATTTTGATGATGTTTCCAACATCCCTTTTTGTTATTTATGGAATTAGTTGGCAAAATAGTGAAGCATCCTTAATGTCAGTGATTCCCATTGTTTGCACTATGTGCTCTGCAAGTGCAAGTTTCATAATTTTCCTTCTTTTGGTTTTTCCATGCAAGGCAAAAGGTTCATTCCAAGTCAATAGCTATTGTGCCTATGTTCAGAGTTTTTCTGTCTTATTTGCAAACAGTGTGTATATTTGTCAAAATTGTGCATTTGTAATGTGTCAAATACCCCTTTTTTCTGCTTGACCGTTGCCCATTTTATTGGGAGATTAACGATTTTGTAGCATTGTGTTGTTGTTTGGTAGGTGGATACATATGTGAAAAATGGCATGGTTGTAGGATTGGGGTCTGGTCATGCATCTGGTATGGCCATTCAGCATTTGGGTCGCCAGCTTCGAACTGGTAATTTGAAGGATATAGTAGGGATTCCCATGTGAGCTCCTTCTCCATACATTTCTTTTTCCCTTTTGGCTAAAGTATTTTTATTTTTTAAGCATAGTGCTATGTGTTGAAAGTTGAAGTTGAACAATGCTTTCTGAATTTTGACTACTTCTTTGATAGAAATTTCTCTATACGATGCAAGTATTGATCATTGCTGTTCTGTAAAGCCATATCACTTCCAATTTGTATGTCAAGATGTAAATTCCTCCAAACCATTTGACATTGATGCATTGGTTGATGCAGGTCTATTGCAAGTGCAAGTGAAGCAGCAAAGGCTGGGATTCCATTGGATACGTACCAAGACTGTTCTCAAGTGTGCACAAAAATAGTCATCTTCTACATTTTCCTTTAATGTTGGGTGTTTCTTGTTTTAGAGGGCTCTTGGATGCTTCACAGAAATTTTACAAGAACAGGAAGCCTTGTATGCAATCCCTGATGAAATATTTAAAAAAAAAACAAAGAAATCTCTATCATTATTCATAAATGCATAACTTTGAAGAAATCTTTTGGTACAACGAAATTAAATTGAAAAGAAAAATAATAATGGTGGACTGTCTTGATGTGTAAAGTTGAGTGCATCTTTGATTTTAATTTGTATAGAACTGAAATCTTACCGTAGATTCATTGGCAATTGCTCTGTTGTAGATTGACTTTGCATTTGATGATGCTGACGTCATAGAAGAAGGGACCCTTGTTGCTATCATTGGGCGTCGGAAATTGCAAGGTGAGGAATCCATAATCCAGGAGAAGGTGAGTTGCTATACCATTCTCTTCTGTATTTGTTTGTGAAGATCAATTATCTTGTGTCAATAATTGAATCCCCCCCCCTCCCTCTTTTTTTTTTTGCAGTCTATACTAAATGCTACCAATAAACTTGTGTTCATTATCGAAGAAAACCAGTACAAAGGTGGTCTGGAAGGTTCTATTCCAGTTTTAATTCAGTCTGTAAGCAGCTATGCAAATTATTAGCTTATTGATTTTTTCTTGTGTATATTTGTCTTTAATACTCTGTTTTCCTTGTAGCTGAACTGGATGGCAATTGCTGAGGAGATTGATGACATGTTTCTGGGTGATGCTGAGGTTCTCTCTGCATTTACTCTTTTTCAGAGTTTTTACTCATGCATATAATAAAAACAAAATATTATATCTAGTTGCTTGCCTACCAACATAAGGACATAAAGAACTCCTTATTTGTTTTACAGATACTGAATATAACTGTGTATAGGCTGCCCTATTTAATGATTTAGGATTTTGTTGTGATCCTCAACAACAATCCAAAGCTTTTTCCACTAAGTGGGGTTTTTGCTCCACGAATCAAGTGATGCCATTGTGTTCTGTCCATAACCAAATCTTTGGAGAGGCTATTTAATTTTAGCTATTTTTTTCATGATTTTCATTTGAGTCTTTCTTGGTCTACCTCTACTTTGGGCTACTCTATTTGATCAGTTTTTCTGACGGCGAGCTTCTATTGTCTCTTTCTCATCTGTCCTAAACCAATCATTTTTTGTCACATCAAAAGAGTTTGACTATGACAACAACAACATGAGAGGTCATACTCTTTTGATGAAATGGCAATACGTGATAAAATGATAGTGTAATAAAATTTTACACAAGAAGTGGATCAAAATTAAAGATATATCAGCCTACTTTCTTGAGGATCAACAAAGTTTACATAATGGTGCAGAGTTATTGGGACCTCCCCATTTGGTTCACATGGTCAATAAACACTTCCAATTCAAAAAAATATTATATTTAATATGTAGTCGTTTTTTTTCATTATGATGTTTCTCTAGGCAAAAGAACAGTGTGTTACTCCATGCTAACATTTGCTATACTGCCCAGTGAATAGAACAAGTCCATTCTCCTAAAGAAGTGTTAAGAAAACTCAATTACAAAGTTGCTAACGGAACTTCACAGTCACAATGCAAATATGATTATTTGTTTTTGAAGAAAACAAATGATGCAAACATCAAGAGGAATAGCCTTGTCAGGCCAACAATTTTGTAGCAGATCACTTATGTTAATTCTAAAAATTGTCAGAAGTGTCAAACAAAGTCTTTAACCCTTCTGAGAAACTAAATTTTCCAGGACTTCGATATTGAAAAGTTTTGAACAGCAGTATTTTTAATCAGAAACAGGGAAAAAATGTATAAAAATAAGACCTAGAAAGACCTCAAAACCATATCCTTTTTATCCAGAAATTTGAAGCAATGACATAGCAAGGTTTCTGAATTACAAAAGTGGAATGTAATGCCAGAGTTGTTTTCTTGAGTTCTATCAGGGTTCTAACTCATGGTTGTTTACTTTAATTTATATTGTGGACTTGAAGTTATACATGGATAGTTTGGAAAGTTCTTTTTGAGCCATGTACACTACTTTTGTATCCTGTATTTCATTTTTTTATTTGATGAAGGGGATTTCTTATATTCCTACTCCTATTTCCATTTATTCTCTTTATTATTTTTATCAAAAAAAACCTTCACAATGTGATTATATTTATTGTTTCTCTTTGTAAATGAAGGTCTGGAGAAGACCATCTATAGGGCAAGCAGGTCCACTTGGAGGTGACTTCCCACTACTGACCAGAGAAGGACATAATGTTCTTGATGTTATCTTTACATCTCCAATAGAAAACCTTGGTAAGTTCTGCAATTGTGATGCCTGTTTCAAGTGCTTAGTCTCAGTATTTGTGTTGTTCCATTCCATTGACTTAGTATTACTCGCAGCTGAAGTAGCAAAAAGCCTTGGTAAAGTTGATGGTGTTGTGGACCATGGTGTCATAACTAAAATCCCGTGAGTTTTCTGTCTTAGTAATTGATAGTATTGTATCAAAATATCGGTTAGTACTTGAAAGGATTGGTAGAATGATTTTCTGTAAACCTGATCTGGTTTTTTATTCAGGCAATATTTCTCTTCCACAATCCTTTCTCTAATGCCATATCTTGCTATGTTCCTCAAACAAGTTTATTTGTTATTTGGTTTTTTTAACGTGTGCTCGAGGAGATATGATAAAAAATTAATAAATAATAATTTTTTATTAAAAGTTGTATGGAATTTAGTGTTATTATGTGTTTTTTTAATAAAAACTTACTATACATAGATTTTTATTGTATACCCCTAATCTCTAAACAACACTTGGTTTATTTATTTTGTTGGAGGAGTGAAATACAAGCATGGTCAACTTTTTAGTCACTTTAGAACATGTCAGATTTACCAAGTTATTTACAAGTTATTTATTTGTATTGTTATGTATCACAGATGCACAGTGGTAATTGCTTCTCAGAATGGACTCAACATTTTGGACAAGTTGACCGCAGATATAGTGGGTTAGGCTTCACTTCTCTTTTTTTTTTTTTTTTCATTATCTTTTTCTCTCTGTTCTGTGCTTCTTGCCTGCCTCCTTTTTTGTCCCCCCGGCATCAAAATATTTATCATGAAAGCTATAATTCTTGTAAAGATTAAGGTAAAGAAGTGAGAAATTGTGCCCGTATCAACTATTAAAGGAAGCTTCAGGTTTTATTGTGTGAGTGTGGATTTATATGCATGAAGCTTCACATATTTTTGTTTGTATTTTCAATTTTCATCTATTATTATTATTATTAAACTTAAATAAAATTTTAGTTCTTATAAATATTACTATTTTTAGAATTAATTTTTATAAAAAAATATTAATATTTAGTCTCTGACATTTAAAAAAAAAGTAAAAAATTAATCTTTATCAAGAATTAAATCTTAACAAAATTTTTTATGATAGGGATTAATCTGTTATCCTTTTAAAATATTAAGAACTAAGTATTAACATTTGTTTTGTAAAAATTAACTTCAGAATAACATTTATAAGGATTAATTTTTTTAAGCTTTGTTTTAATTAACTTTTAAATTTGTCGTAGATGCCCACCATACTCACTCAACACAAAAAAAGTAAAAAAGAAAGAAAAACTCTCCATACTTGCCCTTTAAGTGATTCTTGATTTCCTAAAACCTACACGTGTTAACTCCATGTTTGGCTACTTTATCCCTTTGTCTCTGTCTACAAGTGCCCCCAAATTCTTGAAATGAAATGGAATAAGCATAAACGTCTTATAGAATCCATATAAAATATCTTATCGAATCAGACAAATTATATTATTACCCTAAATAAATAAATTAATGAAGTAAAAATATTGTATTGAAAATTATATTAATTCTTTATAAACCTATTTTTATTAATCCACTTAAAATAATCTCTATATTATCATTTAGGGTGTGTTTTGGAGTTTATCTCACTTTATATTTGTGCAATCACCTTAAGTTATGGTTATAATATTAAAGTCTTCAATATAAGTAACACAGCAAAAGCTCACAATTATGTTATATGATTAATTTGAACAGTGTATTTAATTTCTACTTGTTGAACATGAACTTGATTTAAATTTTTTTTTCTATGCCCATGTCGAATATCTGTTGAGTAAACATTACCAAGGGAATAATGGGCGATAAAATCATCGCTTTGTGGAATTATCAACCTTCAAATTGGAAGCAAAGTGTCCAGGAATTTTAATGCTATGGAGGGTCTTTTCTTTCAACAGAGAATGGTTATTTAAAATATTATAGGATAAAATGCTTATAAGAAAAAGGTTCCAACTATAAAATTAATACAGATAATCAGATAAATGGAATATTGAATGTTTTATCTTTGAGAATAGAACGAGGCATCTTCTTTTGATTTTTTGACATAGGCATTTGGAATTATTTTCGAACATATGCTGAATTTAAATTGATTTTCCTTTATTCCCACTTGTTGAGCAAGTGAAAGCTTGATTCAATTTACTTTTAAAATGCAACACGTGGTTGTGGAATTTGATATCAAGAAAATTCTCAAGTTTATTTCTTCCACTTGATTCACTTATTAAAAAAGATTCTTGTGTAATTGATTAATTTCTTCTATATAAATTGTGTAGACTCTCGAGTAAACTAATAAAAAATTTTAAATAAATGAATTTTATAATAATTTTTTATATTTGAATTAAAGTATATTGATGCTATCTATTTTTTTACATTATTTAATCACGTATGACACATCTACAGTATTTTTTTAATTAGTTAAGAGTAAAAATATTTTTACACTAACATTATGTCAAAATTAAATTCATAAATTTATGTTAAACCACTAATAAAACAAATTCATATACTAACCATTTAGCATTAAATTAGTCCTTATTAATATAAATTTTGTCAAATAGAAATTAAAGTACTAGCATAGACATAATGGGTTTATATTAAAAGAAAAGATAAATTTACACTTGTAGTTTTTTGAAAAATATTTACTTTGATCCCTCAATTTTTTAAACATGTTGTAAATAGATATTTTTTATTAACAATTTTAACTCCATTAGTTTTTCCACCATTCAGTATGTCATGGCATTAGTGTAGATTTATAATATTTATATTAAACTTTTAACTTTTATTAAACAAATTTTATACTAATAAAAGAAATCTTAATGCTTAGTAGATTTTATTTGTTAATAAATAATATTATTTTAATAAAAAAGATATATTATTCCCTTTTATTGAAAATGATGAAATTATATTTTTTTCTTTTAATTTTAAATTTTATTCCCTTCCCTTGAAAAGTATTTTTGAAGTCATAAAACTAATAACTGGGTATTTAAAATTTACTATTGATGACACTAAAAGTTGAAAAAAATAAAGAAAAAAAAGCTCTAAAAGAACATACTTATACTTGCTTACGAGTGGTGAAGTTATTTAAATTACAACGAACAGAAGCGTAGTAAAAATTATTTTTCAAAAATAGTATAATTTTTTAAATTCGGATATTTTTTAAAGGAAAAAGAATAAATGATAAATAGTTTGATATTTCACAGTTACACGTAAACTCCAACAATCTATGTATAATAAAAATTGAAAATATCTGAATATTAGCAGGACATAGCGTTATAGTTAACAATATATTACATGACTGTGTTAAATTTAGATAATTCTATAACAAATAATTATACATAGAAGAAAAATAAAATAAATAAAATAATATTCACTTGTAATTAATTTCCAAATTCTCTTGGGGAATCAATATTATATGCAACTAGTAGCTAGCTTCACATATACTCAAGAAAACGATTCTCTTATCTAGTTAATCACCTACATCTATATAAATGGAAGCAAAGATAGCAAGGATCATCAAAACCATCTAGTCACTGAAACACAATATAATTTAAGGGCAATTCAACATGTCATCATCAAAGGCTACTACCCATACAGGCACAAGTGGCACCTCAGGATCATTCAAGAAGACGGGGGGGAAAGGGAATCAAGATTTCAAAAATGCCAAGATTAAGAGTAGAGGACAGATTGACTCCAAAAAATGTTATGGTACTGTCCCCTCCTTAGGAACTGAGGACTCCTTCGTCCATGATGGTGAAGGTGACCAAAGTTTCACTGGTGCCGAGATTGACAGTGGTGGTGCTGTAATCTAATTTCCATGCTATCTACGTACGTACTTTGTTGCACCAATAACATAAGTTTGGTTACACCCAGACGTACTACAAATAAATACTTTGGTGTCATGTATTACGGTACTGATTGTATGCAATGAGGTGATGAACCTCTGTATCTTATTATAATAAAATCACCTCTTTTTTTTCTCATTTCATGCATGATCATCTGTTCATTGTTAGTATATAAGAATTATATATTTTTACATTACAAATATCTTTTATTAAAGATAATATGAAGAACATGTCTTTCTTTTAATATTTAACACAGCTGCCTTTTGTGATATTTTGTGGTATTTCAAGGTAAGCTTGCTCAAGCAGGTGATTGTGCTTAATTGAAGACACAAAACAAATAAGTTTTGCTTGTATTAGAAGATTGACTTGATAGGTACAAGACAAGCTGAGTTTGGGCAGTTTATGGGGACAAGACAACCATTGTAGACCTTAAAAAAATGATTCAGCACATTCCTTCGTCATACCTTAGGTGCAGTTATACTCCTAAATGGTAATTAAATTACATCTTGTACATAATCGTAGAAATTCTCTGAAAAAATCTCCAAACAAAGAGACGTTAAAGCTCTATTTGCCAAACTAATTGAAAAATTGTGTGTCCTCAATTCGACCTCGCAGGCTGGTATGCTTTTCAAGTGTTAAAGAAAACGACAAAACAAGAAACATGAAAACTAAAATATTTATAATTTTTTTTTTATTGTTATACACCTCACAATTTCACTTTTTTCTTATTTGTAACTTTTCAAATTTGTACCCAAAAACAATATATAGGTAAAAACTAAAACTATTAAGAGGTGAAAAGTTAAGAGCGGAAAATTGAAAATTCATTAAATTAATTAAGTTAACAATATTTGATCACATTGACTGCAGTTAATCAGTCAATACATATAAAATGACATAAAAATATACGTTTATACTTGTATTTTTGTGTATGCATGATAATTAAAAATAAATAAACAACTTTACATTGTTAATTATTATTATTATTAGGTAAATTATATTTCGTAAGATATTAAAAGAAAAATATTAAATATGAACGTGTAATTTATTAAAAATAAATGTATCAATTAATGGAGGGTAAAAAAATACTATTTTTGAAAATTAAATTAACCCTTTTCAAACAGTGCATTTGTAATTTGCAGTATTTCGTCTGTAGCTGAGAATTTTACAAATAAAGATGTGGAACTAAATTTCAAGTAGGGAAAAAGGTTAAATAAATATCTCTTTAAAATGGTAGCTTCAATATGACATTTTAAATAAAATTTACGTTCACTTATATTGTAATGGCTTTTCAGTAGTGCAATTATAGTTTTTACACACAATTTTGTTTTTTGTCCGAATTACGTAATAATAATGTAGAATATTTGGCTTACCCAAAATGCTTAATCATCGGTATTTGGGTTTGTCTCAATAACGTTGCATATTATGACACTAACTTAAAAATGAAATTTAAGGGTATATTTAAACTAATACATTCTAAAAAAAAATCCCATGCATTACAATAAAATATTTAAATTTAAAAATGAAAATTTATAAAAAAAAATTCATTACTGTTAAACTATTAGAAACCATGTTTACAATTACCATGTTGTGGATTTTATTTTTGGTAAATATTATTTAAGTAAATATTGTATCTTAAAATCATGCATCTTAATAAAAAAATTTATCATTAAGAAGTACTTATTGAGCACTCTACTTTATTAAATAGGAAAATATCATAGAAATAAAAAATAATTATATTAAGAAGAAAAATATAAAATAATATGTTAGAAGCAAGGCACACCATTAAATTTCAAAACTTTAATATCAAATTTAATTGATTGAATTCAACAATAGTATTTTGAGAAGAGTAAACGAATAAAATATGAGATGCTTTATGTAAAAGAAAGTGTATGATTCACTATAAAAAAGAAAAAGAAATTATTTTTTTAAAAAAAGTATATGTTTTTTTGTCTTGTATAAAGACAACTTAATGTTAAAAATGATATAAAATATGCTTTTAGTCGTTATTTGATTTTTTAAAAATTTCATCAATTTCAATCTTAACAAATTAAAATTTCTTTGTAAATAGAGTACATGTGATGTGATATACTATATCACATGACACCTTAAGTAGTAATTTCAAATATATTTTAAAATGAAGTTTAAACATCTAATTTTAAATATTTAAACTAAATATTAAAAATGATATAAAAAATTAAAATTATACAAATTTAAAATATATTTAAACTTTAATTAATTTTTCAAAACATTTTAGTTTTTGGTAAGACGAAGCATTATTTTCTGTACCCTCAGTTTGGTAAGAGATTAAGCCCAACAACAGGAGAGTGAGAGGTCAAGAAGAAACACTATTCTAGTATTGGGCTCAATCCGTTACAAAACTAAGCCCAATAACAGCCCAAATAGTTAACAGTCTTATGCGGGAAACAAAAAGCAGTAGAGCAAAACGATTGCGAGATTGAACACCCTTCTCTCTCTTTCTCTCTCTCTCTCTTGGTGTATGCAATCTTCGTTTGGAATTAAGACAGATCTGAATCAATGGCTACACCGGATCACTTGTTCAACCTTCGTAACAACTTCTACCTCGGTGCGTATCAAGCCGCCATAAACAGCAGCGACGTCAACAATCTATCTCAAGACGACATCGTAGAGCGTGACACCTTCGTCCACCGCTGTTACATCGCTCTCGGTCAGTTACAGTTCGTCATCTCCGAGATCCACGACTCCGCTCCCACACCTCTCCAAGCCGTCAAGCTTTTCGCACTCTATTTCTCCTCTCCCGACAACAAGGTCACTATCTCTCCCCATTTTCTCCTCAATTTCTCGTCTCCGCTAAATCTCACCTCTCCATCTCGCAGGATTCCACCATTTCCTCTCTCAAGGAGTATCTCGCCGATCCTGCCATTGGAAACAACGCCACGTTGAGGTTGATCGCCGGTCTCGTTTTCTTCCACGAAAACGACTTCAACGAAGCACTCAAATACACTAATGCTGGAGGAACCATGGAACTGTAAGAAAATAAAGCGAAATTCGTTTTTTTTTATGTCGTTTTGTGCGTGTTTGATATGAGATGCATGTGTTGGTTTTCAGGCACGCTTTGAACGTGCAGATCTTCATTAAGATGCATAGGTCTGATTACGCCGAGAGACAGCTTCGGATCATGCAGCAGACTGATGAGGATCACACACTCACTCAACTCGCCAATGCTTGGCTTGATTTGGCTGTGGTATTAACGATTATTCGAGTTATTACAAAATATATATATATATATATATATATATATTTATATATTTATATATATATGTTGGTGACCTTTTTTATGTGTTTGAGTGGTGTTTGATGTGGATCAGGGTGGGTCGAAGATTCAGGAAGCGAATTTGATCTTTCAAGATTTGTCGGAGAGGTATCAATCTACGAGTTTGCTCTTGAATGGGAAGGCTGTGTGCTGTATGCACATGGGAAACTTCGACGAAGCTGAGACACTTTTGGTGGAAGCGCTAAACAAGGCACGATTTGCTTATTATTCGTGTTTATTATTGTTGCTTTTGATTCTGTTTCTGTGTTTGTTTCCACGGATTAGGAAATTTAGTGGCCGTTTGGTTTAAAGTTGGCTATAATTTATTTTGTTGAAATTGATTTTGAGGGGTTGAATATTTTTGAGATACATGCATAAATTAATCTAAACCGGATCACGTATTCCTTTTATATTGTTTGGTGATGTTGCATTGTGTTTTCTTGTTAAGTGTGTCTACGGTTATACAAAATTTGAAATTTGTGAGTAATTTGATTGAGATCGAATGGATCTCAATTGTCTTCCCATTTTGAAGTTATTCATTGGTCCATTTTGAGAAATTTTATAATTTATCTCGGGCTGAATTTTTTCTTCATTTACTTTGTGCTGCCAAACCTTTAAGCTGTACTAAAGTTGCATTTGCTAACAGAGATTGTTATTTTGGAAATTTGTGTGGTGAAATACTTTTTGTTTTTTATGCAGGATGCCAGGGATCCAGAAACTCTAGCCAATTTAGTTGTATGCTGTCTTCACCTTGGCAAACCATCTTCTAAGTCATTCAGGTAAACTTAGGACATCTTTATTGTTTGTACCTTCACTCTCTTTGAATAAGCAGTTATATGTTCTGGTGAAACCCTTCTCTGACCACTTCACATATTATAACTTTCATTCTATGTCAATTGACAATATCCTAGCATGGATGTTCGTTCTACATGGGCTGGCTAAATCTTTTGTTCCTTGGAAAAGTGTTATTATTGACACTCTGAGTCAAGTCTGTGTACTTGTTGTAATGAGTCAGGGCCTGCAAGGAATATTTGTAGATGGGTCATACTTCCTAACGAGTGGTTTAAGATCATCATTTGTTAATAACCATATGTAGCTCTAAGTGTTGAACGATAGTATTTCGTAAATGGGAATTCCAAGATCATCACTGATGGAGCAATTTCTTTTAAATTTCTTTCAAGCATGCCATCAGACCTTGCCGTTAAAAGTTGGGGACTATGGTGCTAAAATTTATATGAATTCAGGTCATTAAAATCTTTTGAGTTTGGACAAGTTTGTTACATACCTTATAAGTATTTATGATCCAAGTTGGTGGGTGAGGCTCAATATTGATCCAGACAAAATTTCACAGATCACTCATGTTAGAATCCAAACCACACCATGGTTCTCAGTTTGGCTTCTTTGGTGTGTCAGCAAAACACATCATTCCATAATGATAGGTAATTGGTAAAGTAAAATGACATCAGTTATATAAATAGGAGAACACTACTTAGTCTCAAAGTCGCATTGCTTAATATTGATAGTAAATTAAGTAACAACTGAATCATGTACTGTTGTCCCTGTCCAATTAGTAAAGTGGCAACTCCAAGACATTAAACCGAACAATGCTGGGAAGAAACTATTTTGAAGTTTGAACAACCCTAGTCTAAAGGCCTTATTTTAGTCAGCGTGCATATATTTTTTGTTGACTCTACTCCAATTTCCTTTGCAAATAGCTTGCATCTGCGCAATCTGTCAGTGAATGCATTCTTTAGTTAGACTGCCAATAATCTATCTAATTTTACTGAGTGACTTGGGAAATATAAAGTTCTTCTGTTTCTTATTGGTTGAATGCCCCTGTACACTTATGGGCTTTTAAAACCCTTTTCCTCTTTTTTAAAATATTTGTTCCTTGTGTTCTGGTGATCTTGTAAAGTATTCCTTATGTCAATATAATTGTTACTCATATTATGAGATGAATTTTTTACCAACGAATGATTTCTATTGCTTTGCAGCCAACTGAAACTTGCTCACCCTGAACATGTGCTGGTCAAACGGGTATCAGCCGCAGAAGAAAGTTTTGATAGAGCGCTACAGTCATTTTCTTCATGAGTGGATGATTCAATTTCTTTCAGGAGTCGAATGAAGTGAGGAATTCCCATGCAATTTTTACACCTTATCGTGGCTATTGTATTGGTTGCGTATCTTAGAACATAATTGGAATGTTTCATAGGATTCGAATTTATGAGAATGTTTGGTTTACTTGAGTCTTGATGTTGTAAAAGCTACATCTGATATTAACTTTTACGCAAGTTCATTTATATCGTATATTTTACAAGAAAAGCAAGAAATCCCGACTTTGTAGATAGATAGGCAAATCTATTAAAGTTTTATCTTCTCGTATTTGCACCTTCCCATTGAAAATAAAATTAATTGTTAACGAAACTGGATCGTGGATGTGGCAGGATTAGTGTAGACCGTTGCTTGTTTGTGATTAGCCTGGAGTTTACATAATGGCACTGGCCTATCTTGATTATTATCCTCGTTAGTGCTGACTTATGATCAAATATCCAATACTTATTGAAAAAACTGTGATTATGATAAAATACTAGAGTACATGTATTACATAAATTATGATAATTGTTCATAGTGTCTAATTAATGATTATTATGTTGGAAGAGCACACCAACTTACTATAACTACAACGAACGTTGGGGGTGAGTCAGGTACTGACTGTAATTATCCAAACGCTGATTTTTGACACCGTGGATTTGCATTTAGTCTTAGGAAATAAGTCAAGCTGTCCGGTTTAGTGCTGGCTTAATCTATTTAATTAATCCTTTTAAAAGAGAGTTTTATTTACTGAAATAATGGTAATTTGTATTTGTGTTATTTTGATTACATATTTTGATAAAATAAAAATATGTAATTTTTATTTTATATATTCAAAGTGTTAAATTATTTTTTTATAATTTATTTAGATATAAGTCTCATAATTTTTATAAAGATATATCTATTTAGATATTTTAATAAACTATTTATAAAAATATTTAATGATTTATCAAAAGTTTCAATCAAAGTATTCTTTAAAAAAATTAGATTATGTTTAATAAAAATTTTATAATATATCAGACTTAAACTTTAAAATATTAAATAAACTAGGTCTATTTATACAAAACTTAACTTATTCTCATTCTTAGTCTTGACATTTATTTTCTTAATTAATTTTTGTACTTTTATTTTAACAATGTTAGGGAGTATATCATAAATTATATACAAATGATATAGGAAATTGTAAAAAAATGATGTCAAGTATAAAGATTAAATATGTATTTTTAATTTATAAATATAGTTTTAATCAAATGTTATTCATAAATATTTTTTTAATTTTTAAATATATTTATATAGTTGCCATTTACTAAATTATTATAATGTAAATATGTATCACCCACAAAATGGTAAAAGCTTTATAAAAAAACAAAAATACCAACGAGAAGACCTTTAGAACCGAAAGTTCAAAATGATGTGGGACAGGTCAAAATTTTTACTGACCCTCTATTTAACCAAATTGATGTTGTTTATATATATATATATATATATATATATGTTTGGCCAAGAGAAATAAAATAAAACATACAAATGTTGTTAAGGAAAAATTAATTCGTGGGCTTGATTTGTTCCAACAAAGGAGATAAGGCCATCGAATGATTTTTATTTCAGGTTTCAGCCTTTCACGTGCTGTCAAAGTTGCAAAATCAGACAAGCTTTAGCCCAGTTAGGAATTTTGAATTTTTTTTCTAAATTCAGTTTTTCATTTCTAAGAACAATGGAAGCAACAAACCCACGTGATTAGCACGTTTGGTTTCACTTAGAAGTATGTACCTTGAATACTACTAGTTCTAACTTTTGTGTTTGACTATTTTAACCTATTGTCAACCACACACAACAATAATAACAGTAATGACATGTCTTCAGAAACTAAAAAAATTTACTTTAAATTATATTCTAAAATTAAAGTGATAACTTGTGACTAAAAAATTCAGGTTTAAATAAATTTAATTATAATAACAATAATAATTATAATAAAAATAATGATTAAAGATAAAAATAGGTTATACTATATTATAGAAACTTACGACTTAACTTTAAAAAAGTTAAGTTCAATTTAACTTATTTAAATAATAAATTTAATTTAAATTTTTTTAAAAAATTAATTAATTAAATAGATTATGTTTAAATTTTAAAAAAAGCTTATTAAAATAACTTATTTAAAATTTATAATAATATATTAAATAATTTTATATCAAAATTATGATATAATAATATATTGAATAAAATCTTAAAATAAATAAAATCTTAAATTATAAATACTAATATTTTTTTGTTGAAGTTGAAAAATACCCTATTACATACTTTTTAGGAGAAAAAGTCATACTCAATAAAATTTTGTGTGCATTTTTATTGTCTGATCAATTACATATATTTTAAGAGAGAGAATCATATTTATCATTTTACTGTAGATTAATCTTTAATGCAAAAAAAAAAATTGAATGAAAAATATTTTTGAATGATTAATATAATGACAATTTTATTTTTGAAAATTTAATTATTATAAGGCATTTCCCTACCTGTATACATTATTGCACTTTATTTGGTGGCATTCTACTGTGCCATAGTCTAGTCAAAGCTGCATTGGTCAGAAACAAAAGATAGAAAAGCTATACCAGAGCCTGAGCATTGTATTATTGAATCATTATATGTTGAATACATGTAGTAAGTATAACGAATGAACTACCAACTCCCTAAGAACAAAAAAAATCCTCAGCCCATGCATGTGAGTAGCCTAGAAACTTCAGATTGCAGATGAAATGCCATAACCATCACGATGAGACTTTTGCCATTTCCACGCAACTTGTAAACTCTTCTCAAGGTCAGTGTATTGTGCAGTCCAATTCAATTCGTGGTTGATCTTAGATGGGTCACTATACACTTCAGCATAATCACCAGGCCTACGAGGAAGGAAGTCTACTTTGATGTTCACCCCTGTAGCCTTTTTACAAGCATCAACAAACTCCTTCACTGATCGACCTGATACCCATTACATGACAACTTTTGAGACAACTAAGAAACAACAAAGCACTATTCATATTCGAAGTGTAATAATTAAAACCTACCCTTTCCAGTGCCAACATTGTAGATCCCTACTTTACCAGGTTGTGCCTTTTCAAGAGCTTTGACATGAGCATCAACCAAGTCAGTTACATCAATGTAGTCTCTTATGCATGTTCCATCAGGGGTCTTGTAGTCAGTTCCTCTTACCTGCAAGGTTGAAACAAATACAATGAGCACGCGTTCATTTTAGACAATAGCATAGTAGTTTACAAACAAAATCCCTTGGCTAGTTTTCAGATGGGCTATGAATGCTGAGAAAAGTGAAAGAAATTATAGTATGTAGAAGTATTCTACATATGGTTTAACTTCTCAAAAAATTAAAATGAAAAGAGGTATAAAAGTTACTTATACATGGCCAAATCATTTTAATTTTCTACAAGAGCAAACAAAAATCATTCGCCTGGTATGAATTTCAGTGTAAAACAAATGCAACTACTTCAGAAGCAGGAATATTGTATCAATAATATCTTCGACGGGATATTAAAGCAGCCACAAATTAGCACATAAAAATCATATTGCTTTTAACTTGAGGAAAATCATATTTTATTTCTAATATAATGGATTTTTTAATTTGACACTATTTTTAGATTCTATGCATGGAAATTGCAAGACTGTCATGAGTTAGATAACTTTGGAAAACATAGCAGTTTGACCAGGCTGCCTCTCTATGTTCTCTCAGCAATGCGTCTAATGCTACTCGTTGACTAATCTCCTAACAGGATGGATTTCAGCCTAAAGTAAATGAGATAATATTAGCATACCTTTAAGCCAGATGTAATACCACGAGCTGCATCAAAGCAGGCACCTGAAATTCGACCATGTTCTCGAAGTTCAGGTCTTGGAGCCTCACCTAATCTGCCCTCGGGATCTGATCCAATCACATTGAAGTATCTGCATATTTCCCGAAAGATCACAACCATACCTAATTTTGATTAATGAAATTTAAATCAAGTTCCCTTGATTGGTTATGCTATCTTTCATCCATTGTCAGTCCAAACAGCATTAACTGCTCAGTTTTGTTATTCTAAAAAAACTGAAAGACTTTTGTCATGTGAAGAAGCATGTATGGGGTCTCCTTCAAACCTTCCCAACCCATCTACCCATCATCTTGACAAAGGGGGTTAAAAACACAAAGACAATGACATCAAAGAAACTAGGAAAAGAAAATGACATATATAATAAGGTAGTAGACAATGAGATACTGCATCAATAAAATGAATCCAAAACATCTATTTGCCAAAAGCAATAAGAAAAATGAAAAATGAAAATCACAATGCATTTGACTTGAATCATGGTACACCTCTTAACAATCAATGGAAACTTAGGAATCAAAAGACAAATAAGACATGAATAAGTTATTTAGAACAAGGGAAAATCAGGGATTTGAATGTGAAATACAAACCTCAGAATCATTACTGCCATCTTAGAATTTTTAGAGAAATCAAGAATGATATCTTCTGCCATCTTCTTGGCTTTCCCGTATGGATTAATTGGTTTCTGGAATTGGAGAACATCAATATTAACACTATACTTCAATAAGCATTAAAGCCATTGTAAGATGCAACAAAAAACACAGAGTTGTCAACCAAACCCCATAATTCAACCATGCATAGATTTCCCACCTGTTCTGTTTCCTCTGTAATGGGCATCTTTTCAGGTTCCCCATATGTTGCACATGTACTAGAGTATATCAATGTTTTCACACCATATTTAGCCATAGACTCCAATACTAACAAGGTATTTGAAGTAATATTGTGATAATACCTGACAAAAAAAAATTAAGTTAAAAAAATAGAACTGACAAAAATAGATGAATTTTACAGTGAACCATCTCATCTAAATCTCATGAAATAATACAGTAGAAAAAAACATAATTCTCAGCTATCCAGGAATTTTATCCTGGGCCAAGTAAAAATTTCAGTAAGTTTACTAAGTTAAAAGCAATACACTAACTTTCTTGTAAGAATAAATAATCCAGTAAAAATCCTTAGATACTTTAATTTAATTGGTGAACAATATCACTCCAGAATACTTGAGATAGTTTTGCAGTCTTACTATTGCAAATATCTATGAAACAGTAGGATGCAGCACGAGAGCCACTGTTACAGGCCTGTATCCAAACCCCAAAATATCTAAAATTTATATGAGGAGGAGCAAGACGTGCAATGCACCTGATCAGATCCCAGGGAGAGAGAATGAGTAACATAACCAACTGCTAAGTTGGCAGCTAGGGAAAGCATCATGAGTGGCTGTTGCCATAGACAGAGGTTATATGGAGGAATGAGGGAAAAGCGGAGGTCAGGCTGACAGGCACTCCCCAATTGCTGGTAGAATCATTTCCTTCCTTACACTACCCGTAAACACTGTTAGGATCATATTATATCTGGTAAAGCTGAACCGTCATTTATTAATCATACACTGCCTTTATTTTCAACCTCCATGAACTTAACTTTTGATATTCTAAACAATTATGAAGCTATTTGAGTATGTGAAGTTGTCAACCTCAACGTAGAGTGTTATTAAAGGAAAACAAACAACTACACATGATGATAACAGCAATCCAAACACCACTTACGTTTTCCATATCAATTTGATCGAACTCTCAACAAAATCATATCTAATGAGAACTAATATCAATAACATAAAGCATTTTCTTAAAGTACCTATTATGCTCAAGCTCTTAAAGTGAAACACCTGAATTTGGTTGGAACAGTGTTATGATTTCTAAGCAACTTCTGATATTCTTCATAAAATAAATTTTTAAGAGAATTTTCCTAGGAGAGGTCCAACTTTTCTGTCATCAGTCTGGTAGTCAGTTCACACACTATATCAAATAACTATGTTGTGCTTGTCTACGAAGTTCTAATCCACAATCTCCTTTTTTAAAATATTTAATAGAAAATAATACTATTACCCAATATGTTATCAGAAAAATGTAAATGCTCTTGCCATGTGATCTATGCGTCCCAGTGAATGACTATCTATAAAAACTTGCAACAGAGTCAATATAAAATTGAAAATTTCAATTTGTATCTAATATGTATTACTGTTGTTTGAGCTACATGGGTAGGTGGAGAAAAATAGAAACCACACACAAATGCTACTTTCCACAACTAATACAACTGGAATTTATGTGCCCAAATCAAAGCTCTGAGTACTTACTTAAGAGGGTCAAGTGTGCTTTCTCCCACATATGCAACTGCAGCAAAGTGCATCACGGCATCAAATTTATTCTCTGAAAATATTTTATTAACCTAATAACCAGTCAAGTAGACAATTTTTCTCTAGCATTCTCTAACATAATTTTTCAATATTCAACACCAAATTATTTCTTGTAAGTTGTAACAATGAAAGATTACAAGGATACAGATTTTGCATCTCCTAAGTCAGCATATATAAATTGAAGCCTTCCAGGTTCTGGAAACAAGTCTTGAAGAACTCTAACTGCACCCAAATTTCCTCGTGACAGATTATCCTGCAAGGAAGAAAAATTGTTCAGACTCCAGCACACAGACTGATAAGGGCATTCAACTTTATCAGAACAGTTTTCAACATCATGAAGACACATACCACTATGGTGACACGATAAAATTCCTTCAGAAGTCGTAGGGTAGCATGAGAGCCAATATAGCCTGCACCTCCTGTCACTAAAACGTGAGTGACACCTGGTTCATAGACGGAAAACTGAAAAAAAAAAGCCCAAAATATTGAACAGAATCAACAAATTGAACAAAAGGGTAAAACAGCTGTGGGTTTACATATAATATCGATAACAAGAAAAGGTAGAAAACTTTAACTCAAAATCTAGTCTTCAACAAAATTTCCCTTATAAATACTCATTTTTCTTTCCTGTGTTCTCTTTCTTATATCCATCTGACAACACTGGTGAACACCAAACTGAACTCACACAACCTTCAATGTTCTTTAACTTTATTAACAGTAAAAATAGCTCATCATCTATACCAATGAATTATCTACCAGTTGAAGGTATCTTTCAGCAGTATAATCAAACAGCCAAAGAAACTATACAGAAGTTATATATGTGTCAAAGGCCACAAAAATCCAACTTAACATAAATGATAAATCTATCAAACAATTATTAGAAATTAGAATCATCTATTAAGCTTTATCTTCAAACATTTACATATTAACCATATGCAAGTAGAAACTTAGATACATTGGACAAGTTTTACTTAACTGGAAGAATAGATTAGATTACTAGGAGACCCATTTTCCCAAGAAAATGGTCCCCCAAACATTCCATACAGTCATCACATTGTGTTCCAATCAAATTCCATCAACACAAAAGGCACCGTTATCGAGTAAAACAATAAATGGATTAATATAAGTCTTTTCTATCATCTAATAGAATCAACTAAAATCTGACAAATCATTTCTCTCACCATCAACTAGTTATAAAGAACAACTCACCATTTATGTGCAAATATTTTTAAACGCCAAAAGCAATAGAAAATATAATATATAGATATTTAAACAAGCACAGCATATACATAAACATATAAACATGATTGACCATGATAATTGTTTGAATATTCGATGGAAATGGAATATAGGGTTACCGGACTAGGGGAGTTCAAAGATGGAGATCTCTTGATCATAATAATGCATAATACCGTCAATGCAGCAGCTAGAAAAACTTTTCCAACAAAATTGCCCTTCCGTTTTGGATCCACATAATCCATGCCTGAGAGGCAGGAAAACATATATAAGAAAAGATATACCATAAAACATCAACATAATTATAATCGTAAACGATACTGAATTTTAAGTAAACAACCAACATGAAAAAATTACAAAACATAGACAAATAATGGGTTCACAAACACCATAAGCCGTATTCTTGCACCCAACCTACTGTATAGTGAAGTGCTAGAAAAGACAAAGCTTTTCATCTTGTGTTTGGTTCAACTTATTTTAGAGAAATAACTGCTTATCTTCTTCAGCCTGCTCAGAGAGCTTTTGAAAAATATGCGATTATTTCACCAAAATTAAGATTTACCAAACATGCCAAAATTCTTATTTTGAAAATTTTATTAATGCTTCAAGTATACAAGCTTCATTAAATACAAACAAGGAGTTACCAGTTAACACACCACCATTCATTCTCAATTTTCGCAGCTATAATACTCTTACAGTCTTACCTCCCAATGACATAGATCTGGTTGCCCGTGCCTGACTTCTGGTCCTGCCAAAATTTAGCATTTTTAAAATTAATAAGGTCTTATTCCCCTATATCAGTGATCATATCAAGCTCCACTCCCAGATGGATCTTGAGTGGTCTGCTGCAGTGGAAACCAGACCATGTAAGTTTATTTTTCTCTGGAGTTCAAAACGAAAAATCAGCAGAACAAAAAACAAACAGATGGATAGCCCTGTAAAGGGTAAAACGAAAAGGTTTAGTTTGCAAAAGTTTAATTGGTGAAAGGTTTAAAAGAAAAACATGAAGGCCACTGCCACAATGAAAAGGGAAAAAATGGATTCAAAAAGTTCAGATACTAAACTCCACATAATCAAAGCAAACAAAACATAACCCCGCCAATTGACTAATAAGTTCAAAACTACAAAGTTGATGAGAGAGAAAAATATCCAGAAATACAAGATCCAGAGAACCCCAGAAGAAGAAACCATGTGAGATGGAAAAGCAAACAAATAAGACTATAGATTGCTAAGCATATTGCACAACAACATTGCAAACGACATGCTCATAAATTATCTGTCAGAGTATGTCGGACAGGAAAACACAAAGGAAAAAACAAACCCCCAACAAAGCACTTTCAAAAACAAACATCAAGAAATCCATAACAACCTGTGAGAAAAATGCTTCAAAGTCTCAATATCAAAGATCCAACAAAAAACAGGAAAGCAAAAGGGACCTCATCAGCCCCAGAAAAAATCTTCAATATTGGCAAACAATTCAAATTCAACAATACCGAAAAAAAAAACTTTATTTTTGCTTTTGCAGCCTCATAAACTGATAATCAACCAAAAACCAAGCCTAAGAAGATCAAGGACCACTCAGATACTTGTCAGAAAGAAAAAAAAAATCAAATGAATTAAAACCTTTTATGGCAAAAGACACATAGCATTTAGTAACAAAACCGTCAGAAAATTAATTTTTAAGAGGAAAAACAAATTAAATTCCAAAAATAAAAAACAAAAACCACTTTATACAAGTGCCCACAAGAGTAAAAGGCCTTAGAAGATATAAAATAGTATAAATTTAACTGTTTCGTGATATTAAGAAAAATGGAAAATCTGAAAAAGAAAAGAAAGTACCAGATTGTGTGCAGAAGCCAGGAAGGGTTGAAAAAAGAATGAGAAAAAAGTAGAAATAGGAAGGTGAAGTAGAATATTGGGGTTGGTGTTGGTGTTGAAATTGAGAGAGAGACAGAGAGGAATGGGTTCTAATAGGCTGAGCCTCCTCTGCGTCCATGTTGTCAAAGCGTTACATGGCATTCAGACCGAAGTGGAACAACATCGTAGACTTTTTTTTTTTTTCAAGTTTCTTATGATTTTCTTTTTCTTTAACCTTTTAAAATAATAAAGATTATTTAGAATCATAAAATAATGTGTAACCTTTGAGTCTTTGACACACATTTATTAAAAATTATTATTATTATTGTTATTATTATGAAGTACACATATGAATTGGAACTTATTTCCAATTGTATGTGAAGGCAATTGAAACGTATAGATAATAATAATTTTTTAATTAATCATATATTATTAAAATTTACTAATTTTACTGTGATTACTTTAAAAATCATAGCCAAAATATTATACAATTGGTCAATGGTATGAAAAAATTTAAATTGACAACATATTGAACTTTTAGTAATGATACGATATTTTATTGTTATATACTAAAATTTATCGTTTTTGTAATTGTTAACATAATTAAATTAAGTTGCAGTACAAGATTCAAAATTAACCTATGAATTATATAACGAGTTTTTAAAATCTTAATATTCGTCATTTCTTTAGGTGACATTATATATATATATATATATATATATATATATATATAAGCATTTTCAATATTTTTTAAAGAATCTTTTTTAAAACAAAAATTATTCTATAAAAGCTATCATATTATTGACTTTATTCCAAAAAAATAATAATACATATTTCTTTGTACTTAATAATGTCTTTATTTTTTTTCGATTGAATCTCATTATATTATTTTTATATAATATTTATATAAATGGGTTAAATTTTTTAAAACAAAAAATATATTTACATAAATAAAAAATAATTAAATTCTCTCTCAAACTTCGTCTAAAAATAAAAAATAAAATTTTAACATTTCAAAAATTAAATTAGCTCTCAATTTTATTTTAGTAAAACTATCTACAATAATATTCGTAATAACTTTCAAATGTTTAATATCAACTTATGTGTTAAAACTGTAAGTAAATTAAACTTAATAAACTTATTAATGTACTATATTTATACAAAATGGGCTAACTTGTACTTCATTTAAAAATTTGATAAAAATATTTATTTGAACTTAAATTTATTTTGATAAAAAATTGACAACATATAAAATAAATTAGGTTAATTTATTATTTTATATTATATATAAAAATTTATCTATTATATATATTTAAATTATAAAAACTCTAAGATTAAAAATTAATCTACATTTTATTATAAAATAATATCAATTAAACTATAAATATAATAATTTAAAAAAATATATATATGTTAAAGAGGGATTAACAAGACGGACACGACATGAGCGCTGAGTATTTTAACAATAAATTTCTGATTTCCGAAACTTACGTTTGGCAGTGTCCAATAATAAGCTTCCATTTGTTTCACTTTTATGCTACCGACGCGGGCCCCGCATCTCAGTGTTATTAACGTTCTGTGGGGCCTTTCATGTTATTTTTATTTAATATATGTATCTAATTATTAATAATAATAATACTTTATTATTTAATATCATCTTATTATATGTATTAAACACATTAAAAATACCGATAATAATAATAATAATCATCACCATCGTCTAGTCAATAACGGGGCAATTACTTTATTTTTGAAGTTTTTGTTTGCATTTGGATTTATTCCATTTATGCTCAAACATAGTTGCCAGTTGGCCAGGCATGTGAAAAAATAGGTAAGTTTTGAAGAAAAGTAAAAAGAAAACATCATCAACGTAATGAAGAAGAAGATAAGAGAAAAAAGGATAAAAAATTAATGAAACTTTTTATTTTATTTTTGACGATGTTTCTCTAAAATATTAAAAAAATTTATTTAAATAATGATTAAGTTTATTATTTGTTACACATTAAATAAAATAATCGTGTATCAATTGATTTACATGTTTGGTAGTTACTATAGTTATTTAATTTTATTAAATTTTAACATAAATAAATAACATATACTATGTAGAGAGAGAAATAAATAGATAGGAAACTTGTTAACTTTTGGTAAAATGTTTATTCCTTATTCATATAAGTTATCATAGCCATCAAATATGTTTCTACATTTAAATAACATTTTGTCTAAAGGAATCTCCTTGCATGCATTTTGACATTATTTATCAGCTGTGGTTAACTGTTCGCATGATCCTCAAACAAATTAAGAAAATTAATCTTCCATCTACGTTTATTTTGGAACGTAACTATCTCTATTTTTTAAAAACTAGTTATAGGGTTTTCTCCTGGAGATAGGTCAAAGATTAAAAGAATGTCATTTGCTTAAATTTTATTATTAATAATAATAAATAATAAATTAGTCATTTAAATTTTAAAATAAACTCAGTTCTTAAAAAATTATTTTTCTTGAGTCTTTAAATTATTTAATATTTATTTTTAGTCTTAAAAAATGTAAGCACATAATACAAATTATTATGCCATTAAATAATAATAGTCTTCTTGTTATTTGATAATAATAGTAGTAGTTGGTGTCTCGCCCACTTGTCATTGTGTATACTCTACCAATTACGTTAAAGGAATTTCTATAATAAATATTATAAGTGATAGAATTTGATATCTCTTGTCTTGAATATATAAAATATCACAAGTTGGTTTGTTATTAGTAATTTGTATAAGTTCATTAATATTCACATACATGCATACATATATATATTCTGCAGAGTTTTGACCTCTTTCCCTTAAGAAAGGGCACATAATAACTTATATATATATATAAAAGGAAATATGAGATAAAAAGAATACATATTGTAAGAATAAAACCTACGCATTCATGATTCATGCTGGCTGGCGGGGTAACTAAATGACACTAATTTAAGGAGACATTATTTTCTTTGAACATCCAATTTCTTTACTGTTTAAATATATTATAAATGAAATAAAATAAACTCAAAACGTTATACTTTACTTCTTAGAGTCACAATCCTCTTTTTTATATATCATTTTATTTTTTATTAACTCTTTACAAAATAAAACAATTTTAAATATAATCAATTGCAAACGTTTTTCAAGGCGAGAACATGACTCCCCTTTATCCACATTGAAAGGAAGCCATTAACTACGATCAAAATCACCAATGTTGACAAAATGGAAAAGTTATGAATGTGAACCATTTAACAAATAGGGTTTTATTTTAGTATCCCATCGATGTTTGTGGGCACTGGGGAAGGTGGGCTAGGAAATTAATATGGCAAAGTCGTGCAACTTTCCAATTTATACGTCATGAAGAAATGACCAATTAAGATAATATATGTTATATAATAAGAGGATAATAGGCGTTTTAATTATTATATTAAATTAGGTTAGGTAGTGTTTGAATATTCAATGCTCATCTTGGTGTGGAGGCAATAGTGTGGGTTGTTGGTCTTTTCTATTGCATCTGATCCGTTTCTAATTTGAAAGAGACATAATGCCCGAAAATAATGAGAAAAACAACTGATAGAGACAACTCACTTTTTCATTATATAATATATTCCGTTCAAAGCTACTTCATGATCCGTACAATTAGCAAAGTCTCTGTCAAACCTTCTTCTTTTCTTATTTTTTAAGTGTATAAGAAGGAAAGGGAAGCACATGCTTTCGAGTCAAATTTTTATTTTTCTAATTTTTTTATAATTAGTATATTTTTTAAAATTTAAAATATTTTCTTTATAGATTGAGTATTTTAAAAAATAAATTTTTAAACATATATTAATCATAATAGTGTGTATTAAAAGTTATGTTAAAAAAACACATTGGTAGCATTCTTTTTATTGGTTTTTATTTTTACTTACTTTGTTGTGTTAGAAGGATTTTAGCTATTGTGTGAGAAGGAGAATGTGGACAATGGATATTTGTTTATCTCTCAGTTAATTTATTAGAATGTGTTAAAATATAACATTCATCATATATACAGTTAAATAAGAGATTATAAATATTAATAGCATTAGCGTATACCGTAAATTTGATATAGAGTCACTCTTAACTAAAAAACCAATTGTCTTAGTACATTTTTTCACTGCAATTAACATGGCTACATAAATTTTCTAATGCAATCTATTTGATTTTGTGGCTTTTTTAGCGTTACCTTACCTGGTCCTATGACTCGTGTCATAGTAAAAAACAATAATAGACTTTTTGAATTTGTATGCTCTAAATGTCTAAAGTGTGAAAAAGTATGTTTAAATTTTCACATTATGTGGTCACATAAAAATTTATAAAAGTTTATGTATTTTTCATTTTATGAGCTAGTTCTTAAGGTAAAATAGGTTTAAGCCTGAAACTAAGAGTATTGATTCTCAATAATTAAAATCAATGGTTAAAAGTGAAAGTACACAAATTTCAAGGGACATCAACGGCATCAGACATTTTTTTGCTGCCACCAAAATTTATTTAAGTTGTAGGGAATTCATGGTTTGTTTTCTTTTTTTAAGCCTTTAATCTTAATTAGTACAACAATTTAGAAAAGATTATCAGAAATTTGGTTCAAACTCTGTCTCTTGGTTAACAAATGCTAACTCTCAAAACACCGAGAAAAAACATATTTTCTCTTTACTGTGCTTTATAGTTTGTTTTCATATAAACACAAGAGAATTGGTTTTATTATATATTTTAAATGTACACTTACTTAACTTTTGAAAAACATTTTTGTAAGATACATCATTACATGTATTACCAAGAAAAATAAATAAAGTTATAACTTGTTAACACATTTCTTCTAAAAATAAGAAAATATACATTAACAAATCATACATATGTGGGGAAAATTAAGTTACTCCAAAAATAAATCTTATTAAAACTACTTCACATAATAACAATTTATAAATATTAAATTTTTATTAATCTACCTATTAAATAGTATGATATTAATGTATATTGATCATGCATGCTAATTTTTAAATAAAATACGGGTGTTAAACGGAATGTATTTTTATAATTAATATTTATTAAAAATTATAAAAACATATTATATTTAAAATAAAATTATATGATAAAGTACTAGTTAAATTTTAATTTATATGAATTTTTATTAATTTAATATATTCACTAAAAACTTTCAATTTTATAATTATATTAATAATTTTCATTGTAATGCTTAAGAAACAAGTGACTTGTTCTCTACAACTTCTATAAAAAAAAATGCAATTATTGTGAATAGAACAAAACAAAACTACTAGAAAACGATAGGTTATATGATTGATAGCGAGTCAACACACTTAAGCTAATAAAATAATAAAAATTACAAAAAATTATATATCAGTGTGATGTTCATTAAATCACCTTTTTGAAGTCATTATCGTTTTTAGCAACTAAATATACACTTCTCTTTTGAAGTGATGTAAAGGAAATTTATAATTTTATTATATGGTTTTATGTATTTTATAGTAGAAAATTGTTAATTATTTCACATTCCATTTTATTTAGGGGTGTAAATAGATAGAGTGATAAAAATAAACAAATACAGGAGTTGTGATAAAAAAGAATAATAGAGTAAAATAAATAGATATGCATGTTTAAGAATTGTTAAAGCACAATATGGATTCTCAGTTTGCTACTGACTAGTGTCTTGTCACCTAAAACAAAGTGCTCTTGACACTTGATTTTATATAAATCTAGTTTGACATTCATAATGTTAGTTTTTACTTCATTATATTTTTAGGAAATATCGTGTGATCTACTATCTCTTAATTATTATAATTTTTATAAATTAAATGTAAATATTAGTTGTAAGATAGACACATAATTTGTATTAGTGTAATACAAAATTATAATAGTAAATGATTAATAAAATATATTTTTTAATAGTAACGAATATGTTTTTTTATGTTAAATTAAAGTTAATTTATTGAAATCTTCACTTAATCATATTTAAATTATTATAAAGTGATTTTAAAATTTAATTGTTTAGAAGTAATTAATTTTGTTACAAATAAATAAAAACTAATCTCTTTTAAATTGTGCTTTTTTTATAATATATTTATTATTTTATACAAAGCTTTTTTAATTTTGTTATATTGTATTTTTATCTGAAAATTCTTTTCACCTTCTGACCTCAAGATACAATTTCTAAACTTTTAATTTTACACGGTTTACATATTTATAGTTTTACTATTTATTTCATTTTTACAAAAAAAAAAAGTAATATATTATTAATTAAAAAAATATATTAAAAAACGACTTCATCAATGAAAGAATTCGAACACTTAGATGTTATTTTAATATCTATGAAGTTGTTGCTTCCTCTTGTTTTGCCTTGACTCACAAGATTTATTTGTAGATTTCATGCATATGCAGATTGGGATTACAATTGAATCCCTATTCGATTAGTATATATTATTAAGAATTACTCATTAAATAAGCTCAAATCTAGATATCTAGATATCTAGATATCTAGATATAAGTATATAGTTGAAAAAAAAAAAAACAAAAGATAGATACGATGACATAGTACTCTATAGTTCAATATATTCATATTTACATGTTATTTAATTTAATAAAATAAAAAACTTTATGTTTATAATTTCAACACCTTACTAATAGTTGCATCTCATATCACACTTTTTAATATATTTTTAATTATTAATAAATTTTATTAAAAATTACGTGAATTTAATTTTCAATTTAATAATAAGCACTATTCTAAATATATTGATATTTCCCCATCTCAAAATAAAAACCCTTTATTCTTAACCTGTTCAATGGTTGCATGGCTATGTTATTGGACACCCATTTACATCTAGTTGAATACCAATCGCTAGTTTAGGTTTCATCATTGTTTTATTTTATTTTAATTAAATCATTTCACTTGTAACAAGTGTTAAATGTATATTATATTTTATAATTTATTACTTTATTAAATTAAATTTGAACTTAGTTAACCATTTTTTAATTGTATTTTATAATTGGAATATAAAATACTACCTGTAAATACAATAGATGATTTTAAATATAAATAGCTAAACATTCACAGAGTATAAAATTAAGATAAATACTAAAGTATGCAAATGTTGGTTAGGAGACATTTGAAAAAAAAAATAAAACAGTAAGAGGTGACGAATCCTATAATACTGTATTTAAATATGTCCCTCTACTGTCTTTGAGGCCGCAACCTTTGAATGGAAAACTTTAAAATATGGTAATTTTATGCAAGAACATCTTTTTATATATGGGTTTTTTTTTCTTTCAAAATTCAAAAAATATAAGATTTTTTGCAAAATTATGGAAATATGATTTTTTTGAAAAATTGCCACTGGCCACTTTTGGCAAAAATTGTCACAGGCGACTTTTGATGTAATTTTTAAATATTTAATTATTTAAAAAAAAATAGTCATTAGTAACTTTTGTTCTTAAAATAATTTTTTGTTTTTAAAGATATAATATAATATAAAATAATTATTTTAAAAAAATTATATTGAATTTTATTTTTAAAAACAGAAAATTATTTTATTAAAGAAATCAAACGTATCTTAAGTTCTAAATTTTTATTTTCTGACAAACATCTTAATTATGATTTTTCTTTTATAAACATCGAAATTTTTTTGCTTAAGCGAAGATGTAAAATAAACTGACTGAATCGTTTAGTTATGGGACTAAATTTGAATTAAAAAGAGCAAAATTTAGCTTAACTGAACTATTTAGTTTCTACAAAAATATGACTGAATCCAAATTCAGTTTCGTAACTAAACAGTCCAATCAGTTTATTTTGCACTATCGCTTAAATGAAATTATAAAATTTTGTTTAATTGAACTGTTTAATTTTTGCAAAAGCATGACTGAATCTTGTTCTGTCTGTGATAGAGAATCACTAAAAAAAGTAATAATAGATAAAAAAAAATATAATACTAACAATCACATCATAAAAGTTCAAAATATAAGAGAGCTTAGTGTTTTTTAACAAATTCATAGCATGTTTGAATTGATATTTGCTTTTTTAAATATTAATTTAAATGAACATTATATGAGATAATTTTAGGAAAAATTATAAGATTCTAATTATTTATACTACGTTATGTGTAAAAAGTTTATAATTTATAAGAAAAAAAAAACATATAAGTCACTACGAGAGTAGTTAGGATTATATAATCTCAAATGACAAAAAAATAATTATGTAATTTTAGACTTAAAAACATGCCTATGTAGTCTATGATTACAATATACAATCCAAACTTGCACCCAAATGATTTTGTAACTTTTGGTTGAAAAGTTATTCTAAGTGGAGAAAACAAAGCACGCCATATTGATTTGATTATATTTATATGTTATTAATTTTTTTGTTTAATTCATATTATCTTAATTTTCCAATACTTAAATAAAAAAATGAAATGGGTTGAATTCAATTGATTTTTTCGTGGGTTCAGAACATGGCAAAATGTACAGGTTGACTCGTTTTGTTGTTTTTACATTTTGACAATGCCCCTTTTTTTAATCAAGAACGTCACTTCGAAATATGAATACTTAAGACTTGTATAACAGACATGACAAGAAAATAAGATAATGTAATATTTTTTATTATGTTATATTTAACGTTTATTTAGTTAATAATTAAAGTATAATAAATATATCTTATAAATTTATCATATTCTTTAATACAATTTATATTGTAAGAAACTTGAATTAAAAATAGATAATATTAAATATTATAATTTATTTTATTTTATTTTAATACTTATCAAATATTGAACATAGTGAATAAATATATCATTACACAATAACTCAAATCTAAAATCTTAATTAAATGATACTAAACTATTTACTACTCATACTAATTTCCGTTGATATTTTACTTCATGCTTTAATTTTTTTCTCTGCTTTTATCATATATTACTATGTAATATCAAAACTTAAACCCATTAGAATTTCAACACTGTTCTTGCTTTGAATGTTTCGTCTCTTACTTCGATTTTTTTTTAAGTATAAAATCACACGTATTTTTCAAAAGAAATAATCCTATCAATTACTTTGATTGCTTTTTTTGCTTTGCTCTTAGTTATTTTATTATAAAAAAAAAATCAAGTTATCCAGAAAAATCAAATCATTTATAAAATAATTTTGTAATGCCACGCAACTAAACAATTAATTTACATTTTTTCCTGAATAGATTACAACATTTAATTTGTTTACACGTGAATGTGATAACATAAAAAAAGAGTATTTTATTTAATAATTTTGAAACACAAATTAATTTGATTAAAAATAAGTTTTTTAAAAATTACTTCATCAGATGAAAATTAATAATATTATCTTATTTAATTAACGTATAAATAAAAATAATAGAGATGTAATGAGTTAAAGTAATTTTGTATTTTATTTTTAATAAAATATTAATATTTAAAAAGATGTATAAATAAAAATAGTTTAATTAATAAATTAACATGTTATATACAATATAATATAATTCATAGACTATTTAATAATTTTTATTTTTAAGTATCTAAATTAGTCTGAGAAAATATTTTAAAAACTAATATAAGTATCTATTTTTTTAATTTATAAAAAAATTACTTAAATTTAAAAATGGTAAAATTAAAATGAATTCTAAAAGAAGCGTGTAGAATAGAAACCCTATCGCTGTTTCAGTTTCAGTTTAACCTTTGACACACTCGCCTCCTACTCACAGTGACGCCGGCCACCATCACTCCGCTCGTGATCCGTTGGGTGTTATGGTCTGTTCTGTTCATCACTATGTTTGATTTCATTTCTTTCTTCATCTTCCCTCATCTCATTATTAGCACTTCCTCTCTCTCTCTCTCTCTCTCTCTGCTTTCATTTCTATCTATATCTGATTTTTGTTTCTCAGGTATGCTTCAATCCATATCCGGTGACTTCCTCTTAAGCGTCTTCCTCAGGTAAATTTGTTTTATTACGATCTGGTTTTCTTTGCTGCTTTTCATGTATGATTTTAACTCTGTTAATGTTTTGGTTGTAATATCAATTTTTTTTTCTATGGTATCAGTGTACGAATGTGCTAATAACTAATTGAAAATTGAAATGTTAAACCATATAATCACCTTGTATTGGAGTAGTAATAGAAGCATTTCACTAGGTAAAAAATGAGGGAAGCTAGGTATTCACGCAGAGTTCTAAGGTTCAAATTGTACTAAAAAAGTTATGGTTCTCTTCCTAAAAAAACGAATAATTCTGATGGGTTAGGTCTCCTCGAGAGCAAAGTCTTGGGGCTCTAGTAGCTTCTGCATTATCCTCTCTTAGAGAACACGAGACAATACACTTACCAATTAACCTGCATCAATTTGGATTTTGCTGGGAAAACACTTGAAATGAAGAAAGCTAAGCCAAATATTATAAAACGGAAGAAACCATTGAAAAGAAATGCAAAATAACCTGTTGCATTTCGAGACCCATTTAATTCAGAACCTGTATGTTACTATTGTACACTGATTCTCAGTTTGATCAAGGGACACATTTCATAAAAATAAATAAAGTGGCTGGAAGAAAATGCAAAATTTGAACTTTTTCAATTTTTGGCTAAACTTTTATTATAGCTTCCTGCATAAATGAATGTTCTGCTCTTTCCAAATGAATGTGGGCTCTTGGTTGCTTATGCTTAATATTTGGGACCACTTTCACGTGCTAATTTGCAGAAAAGCTTACTCTTTATTCTATCTTGACAATATGAAATTGGCTATGCATCTTTTCTCATTATCACTTGTGGTCATATAATTCACAAAAGGCTTGGAGTTTTTTTTGACTTTCTACAGTTTTATAATTTCATTCTGACATGCTTGACTCGTTGTTGGGTTGATTCTTACTATATTCACCTGTATATGTTGTTTTCTTTCTATATCCAAGGGTGCTGTTCTCATGTCTACATTTACATTCTATGCTGCATCGAAGCAATTATGTCATTAGATGTGACAGTAAAAAGTATAAAACTGATGCAAACATTATATATCAAATAATAGGTACTTTTATTCCCCCTCTTTTGTTATATTATATTTCTGTCAATTGTCTTCTATTCATAGTCATTCAGTTATGGTTGGCTACTCTCCTTCCAGCACCCCCCCCCTTTTGGTTCCCTGACAGAACATGTTAGGCCGCAAATAGTAGGGAGTCATACGCAGTATTAAGGTTTCAGATTGATTAAGAATTTTTCTACATGTTTGTATCATGTTGTGGTTTTTACTATTTCTTCTGCATTTCAGTCTCCCTTAAGTACTCCAAGGTCAGTATTGGTTATTTGAGATTTGAGCTTTATACCCCGAAGTTGTTTTATCTTGATAATGGACTGTTTCTGAGTTTATGTGAATATGGATGAATGTCAGAGTGGTGCATATGTATGAATATGCAATTATGCATATGGCTTTTAAACTTGATGCTGCTAAATTGGGTTGGGTTTTTCTTTCATTGTCTAGATTAATTTGTTTTGGCAGTTGTCTTAATACAGCTTTTCATAGGAAATTTGCATACGCCTAATTCTTGAATTCCTTAATGGAGGATGATCTTGCTTTCTTATTCATGAGATTTCAGTGAGACTTTTACCTTGGATGCTAAATGCCTTTAACAGTCTTATGCGTTCTGGCATTTGAGGAATTTATTTTCTTGTCTCTTGTGCCTATTGCTATTTTTTGTTGGATGTTAAAGATAGAGAGGTATTAAAGATCCTTCAAATAATTGGCACTATTAATAGGTTTTAGTGTCCAGGGTCTATGCATATTATCAAAGCCTATACATCATATGCTATTATTGGCTTGATCTTTATGAGAAAATAGACTCCAAAGAATAATTCAACGCTTGAATGACCTTTGCAATCCACTAACTAACTATTTGATTGGAAAATTTTACTAGTTCATACCTTTGCTTTGATTATCGTAGCACAGCATTGTGAATAATTTTCATCATATCATTTTCTAAGTGATTCAACTTGCTAATAGAGTTAAAATTTATATTAGTGAAAGATTTTCGTCACTATATGCTGTGGTTGATACACTGGTACAAATGAAGCTTGAGTGGATGGTTGAGCTGTATAAGAAATGATACTTTGCATAAATCAGTCATGATCTAGAGTATTTTAGCACCAGGCCTGATAAATTGATGAAATATAAACTATAAAGTGGTGCACTTTTATCTAGTTCTGAACTTCTTCTGATGTTAAAAAAATACAAGTTTGCGATTATATTAAAAGGTAGACAACCATTATCTAGAATTTGTTTGCTAAATTGCTACCGAAAATCAGTTGGTGTGTTTGTTAGTTCATGGTTAGATTATAGTTTTCACTGATGATACAGTTTTTTTAAGAGGTTTTAGTTTGCTATAATGAATGCAAATGCTGATGTTGAGTTGGAATAATTTTTGATCATTTAAGAAATTAATTTTTATTTTTTTGCAAGTTTCTGTTAAATTTATCATTTATCTGAAAAATTGATTAATTTGGGTTTAACATTTTCAATTAATTTTGTCAAATAAATTGGTAAGTTTTTTCAAGAATGAAAGTAATTTATTTACTCTATCCAAATATAATATTTTAAAATGGAGAATTTTGAATGAAAGGAATTTGATTACTCTATCCAAAATAAAATAAAAAATAAAATGAAGCACGTTTAATTACTCAATCCTGACAAAATATTTTAAAATAATACAATTTTAAATGATGTAATTTAACATACTATAGATTATTTATAGTTACTTATTATCATCCAATTTGATAATCCAGTTCTTCTTAATATTGAGCTCAATGACTTTGACAGCTCTAGGTGTAGGGATAGGTTGACTTTAATGATATCGGAAGAAAGAATATTTTTGAGAAGGTTTTTTTGTGGTTCTAGTTGAGATGGTTTGGTTGTTTAGCTATGTAGAGTATGGTTGTGAACTGGTGTTTAATGTTGGAAACATAGGAAAAGTTTGTGTCAGATTATCATAGATGATAAATGGGATAGCTGAATAAAAATTTATGATTGAATCTAATGAAGATATTTAATCATCAACAGATGCACTAGTTGTTGTTAACTTAAAATTGTTGTATATAATAACACAAGAAAAATAAATATGCAATGCAGATGATGAGTTTTGAAATATAAGTTTTTATGTAATTGTGTAATGTATTTTATTGGCTACTCCAGCTATTATATTTATTTCTTTTTTCAGGTTCATGTTGAAATCTCTTTAACCTGTCCATTAAAGCATCTGTTTCACTTTGTCAATGAGAGGAAGCTTTGGAATAAGGATCCAAAACCCCAACTTTTGCAATGCTAGCAGAAAAACGCTAGTTCCATTTTCTACATCTTCCAATTTTGGTGGTGGAGGTCGTGGTCGTGGAGGCTCTCCCTCTGGCTCAGGGCTGTTCAACAACAATGAAAGAGCTCCAGGTAAGCCTAATTCCAGCGACCCCAAATCTGACACAACAGAGTCAACCATTCCTCCTGGTTCTGGTCGTGGCCATGGCCGTGGTAAACCAATATCTCCTCCATCAGGTCTTCCTTCTTTCTCTTCATTTATAACATCCATAAATCAGTCGCCTGCTGGTCGTGGCCGAGGAACATCTCAACCTGAACATGATTTGCCACCACCAGATTTTGGACCCAAAAAACCCATTTTCTTCAAAAGAGAGGATAGTGTTTCTCCGACAGCCTCAGATGATTTTTCCCCACCCAAAAAGCCCATTTTTTCTAAAAAGGAGGATGTTGTTAGCCCAATAACCAGATCTGGTGATCATGAGCATGATCACAAACTTCCAGGGAGCATACTAGGGGTGTTGTCTGGATTTGGGCGGGGGAAAACCATGAAACAACCAGACTCAGAGACTAGAGTTCCAGAAGAGAATAGGCATCTCCGCACTCGACGAGCTCCTAATGCTGCTGCATCTGACTCTCTGCCTGAGAGACAGCCAATACCAAGACAGGATAATGCGAATGCACGAAGAAATTTATCTCAAGGTGAAGATGATAGAAGTGGTACCGGGAGAGGAAGAGGATTTAGAGAGAGAGGTGGTCGTGGTCGTGGTCGTGGTCGAGGTCGAGGCCGAGGCCGATCTGTAGGAATGGAAGGGTTCAGAGAGAAGGATGTGGATGAAAGGATTGACCGTCTTATGGATACTGAGGATTCCTATACTACAGGGCTGCATGTTGGGGATGATGCAGATGGTGAGAGATTAGCCAAAAAGTTTGGACCAGAGATAATGAATCAATTGGAAGAAGCATTTGAGGAAATGACAGAGAGAGTTTTTCCATCACCATTAGAGGATGAGTTTTTGAATGCATTAGACATCAATTATGCAGTAAGTGGTTTGCAGCAGATATCTTATGTATTTTTTTTAAGAAATTATCCAAGGTAGTGGAAATATTTATTTATTTATTTGTAGTTTAGCTGTGTAAAGGGAAATTTTCCAGTTTGTCAGCAAGAACATAAAGAGTAGGTTTAGCTTAATCAACTTGCTCTCGAGAAACAAAATAGACCTGAATGATCCATTACTGGAGATCTAAAGACAACATTTCTCTCGCGGAGAAAATTTTTAAGTTGAACTTCTAGTTTCTGTTAAATTAGCATACTTTATCTTTAATTGTTTCTGATTTTTCTGTTTTGTTATTGATTATTGCAGATTGAATTTGAACCAGAATATTTGGTGGAGTTTGAGAATCCAGATATTGATGAGAAGGAACCAATTCCACTTCGAGATGCACTTGAGAAGATGAAACCGTTCTTGATGGCATATGAGGGGATTCAAAGTCAAGAAGAGTGGGAGGTAAATTTTGTTAATAGTCTTATTCATGACTTAGGGTTATTACGCTAACATTACTTGCAATGATTTTAGGGCATGATTTTCATTTCAAATGTTCCTTTTTATATAGTAATTTACCACTGTCTTTACAAATAATCTTAGGTTTGATTGCCAATATCTTTGTCATGTCAAACCTGTGTATTTAGATAAGTGCTTTATCACTTTCTGTATATCTTCTGAAACAATTGTCTAATTGATGTGTGCATGTGTTGGAATATTTTTTTTTCCTATTATTTTCTAACTTTATATCCTTCTAGGAAATAATGGAAGAGACAATGGCACGAGTTCCATTATTAAAAAAGATTGTTGATCACTACAGTGGACCGGACAGGGTAACTGCAAAGAAGCAACAAGAAGAACTAGAAAGAGTTGCTAAAACTCTTCCAAAGAATGCACCACTTTCAGTGAAGCAATTTACTAACCGTGCTGTTATCTCTCTTCAGGTTTGAAACTGTATATATTGATATTATGCTGGGCATGAAATGCTTTTCTCTCTAATTTGTAACCTCATTAAAAAAGTGTCTACACTGATGTCCTATTGCTTGCTCATGCATTGCAGCGTTAAATGAACCCCCCTTCGTCAGGATAGTTTTATCGTGATTTGATATTAGCGAAGGTTATATCTCACAAGAGTTCCTTATTCAATTGAAATCCCATGAAATATTATTTGCTGTTCCTTCTAGGAATTTAGAATCAAAATGCTAGTTGGTAAAATAATTCCCAAATGTATTAAGAGAGACAGGTATCAATAAATATGCATTTCTTTTAAATTTTAGGTTCTAGATCCTGAAATCAAGACAGGTGGATGCTGTTCCTAATTAAAGTAGCTGTTAGGGACAAGGCAGTGATAAGAAAATCAATTGTTAGACCAAAAAACAATTAATTTTTTTAAAATTCTATTTAAAATGATTGACAAGAAATGAAAGAAAATTGTTGGCTATTGGAGTTTACATATGCTTAATGCCACTGCTTTTGATAGAATGGGATAATTATGTACTGTGTCATTAGAAATTCAGAAGGTTCCCATGTCCTTAATGCAAATTTGTGGCCTTCTACATCAAAAAGGCATTTCAGAAACTTGTTATTTCATGATTATATAATGATTCCATTTGTTTGGTCCAAAACATTTTGGTTATCAATTTATGCTGGTCAGTCACAAATGTGGCTGGAATTGCACTAATCTTAATCAGTGCGGGAGAGCATGTAATGTCCAAATCTTGAGGAGTGAGGAAATTTGTTTTCTTGTGGCTGGTGTAAATTTCAGTATCCCGAGATTGGTTTATAACCCTCATCTGTCTCATTTATTCTTTTATGAATTCTGATAAATTTGCCTTGTGCACTTTTGACTTTAGTTTCTTCATATGAATTACAAGCATATAAACGTATTCAGAGACTTGTTGTCATTTCTTTGAAAGAGCTCAATAGTTTACTGACTTAAGTCTCAAGCACGAAAGAAAAAAGTACTGCGGAAGGAAATGCTAGAATTTAACTTAATGATTGGATTTAATGGCTGAAAATGGAAGTCTTAATGTCTGATTATGGTTACAGCTTAGCTGATCATGTAGTTATTTCCATCTTCTATTCGATTCTTTTGCTTTTTATTGTCCTGTGTTTAAACGAAATATGCGAAATGCTGGTTGGAAAAACTATGCTACTCCGCACATTATTGATATGTTTGGACTGGAATATGATGCAGAGCAATCCAGGCTGGGGATTTGACAAGAAATGGTATTTCATGAATAAGCTCGTTGGGGAGGTATCGCAGCATTACAAATAATTTAATGTCTTCCAAGCTTTTGGTGCCTTTTTTGACAAGAAAAATGCCATTTTATGAATGCGATCGTTTGGGGAGGAGGTTATAAAATGACTCAAGCTCAATCATGGTTGGTTTTTGGGTTTACTATGTCCATTGCATTGTGGATAAGTAATCTGGCCTACTTTAATTTTAGTTCTTGATTAAAGAACTGCTATAACTCTTGTAATAATACGAATGATAGTGTTTTTTTGGTAGCATTGTTGCTTGCAATTATTGCATCTATCATATACTTTGTAATAAACTATCATTTCATTTAGTTTCTCAAAATTGATAAATTGTGGAATAGTAACTGAAATAGAAAATCAGTGGACATAAATAACTTCATAATTAATTTTGCATGCACATGTATTTATCAAAATGTCAGTTGTTGGTTATATATATATCCTATTTTGATTTAAAAAAAAGGTTCCCAAGTTAATTGGATAAATTACAAGTTTTTAAAAATGATTAAGGCCCAGTTTGAGAGTGAGGTTATGCAAGTGTACTTTTGGGGAAAAATAGTAAAATAAAATAAAAAATGTTTTTTATAAATTAAATTTAACTTATACACCTTGTGTTTTAGAAAAAGAGTTAATAAAATTTGTATAAAAGAATAAAATATACTTATATTTAAAATCTATACTCATTGTCCACTCTTCTGCCTTACATGAACTCTTGCCCCACTTCATTTTTCGACAAAGTTTAGCTCTACCGGTTCACTTGTACCTACTCTTTTTTTTTAACCATTGTCATCACTGTTACTTTCTTTGTCACTTCTCATAACGAGGACTAGGTGTGTTGAGAGGAGAACATCGGTTGAGAAAGAACTACATAGTTATTGTAGTAGATAATGAAGTAAAAGATAATAATAAAAGTCATAGTGACGATACTAGTCTTACAAAAATAAAGGAGAAAATGGGTTAATAGTGAGTAGGAGAAAGAGTTCAACTATTGATGGATGGGTCTCTCGTCGAAGCCTTTAAAGTGGATGAGTCAATTTGTAACTTCAAAATAGAAGGAATATAAAATTCTTATGAGCTAACTCTTAAAATTTCTAACTTATAGTTACTAATAAATTTATCTCATTTATGTTATTTTTATCTTAAATAAATTAGACATAGATACAAATTATAAATCTTACTCTCTCCTCATTTAAATATAAAATTATATTAATATAGTATTATATGTCTTTTCAAGTCAATTAATGCATTTTAATTAATTTTACAAAATAATTTTAAGAAGTTATAAAACTTTAATTTGAATATATTAAATGAAAGTGAATTAAACGTAATTCTTTTTCTAGGTTGGAGTTGCAATATATATATATATATACTAAATAATTATTAAGAATAAATTGGAAAATAAAAATGAACGAACAAATAAGTTGATAGCTTTAAGTTATAAGCTCCAAAATATTAGTTAAAAGTTTTTTTCGTTGTAAAAGAAATTAATCAAATATTGTAAGCTAATTTTAAAAAATTGTTGAAGAAAAAAAAATATTTTTTACATATTCAACAAAAATAATCTCATCCAATCACCCAATCAACTGTAGTTTAAGTTTTTATAAATATAGTAATAAAATAAAAAAATAAGATTAAAGTCCAATTTGAATAAATTTCTCAATAAATGCTTATAAACTAAAAATATATATTTTACTGTTTTTTTAACTTTTATTTTTTCTATATGTTTTTAATAATAAATTAGTTTAAATACACAAAGAATAATATATATATATTGCACCTTCAACCTAAAAAATAAATTAGGCTAAACTCACTTTTCATGTAATCTATTTAAATACAAGTTTTATAACTTCTTAAAAATATTTTTTTGAAATTAATTAAAAAACATTAATTGATCGAAGAAGAATTATAATATTATATTAATATAATTTTATAATTAAATGAAGAGAGAATAAGACATAATTTGTATATATGTATAATTTATTTAAAATAAAAATAACATAAATAAGATAAAATTATAAGTAGTTATAAGTTACAAGTTTTTAAGAGTTAGCCCTTAAAAATTAGGTAAAATTAGAGCTTGTTTATTTTTTCTTTTTAAATAGAGTTTTTAATTTTTAAATTAAAAAATAGAAAAACTAACTTGTTAATGTAAGTATTATTTTACTATTTTTCCCCAAATAGAAATACATAATTTGTTAATGTATAATTATTTTTGTAAATTAATTTTTATTTTCAATTTTTAAAACTAAAAATAGAATTGCTATTTAGGTGTTTTTGTTTTTATTTTTCTGTTTTTCTTTCTAAAACTAACAAAAGTCTAATTAAAAATAGTTTTAAAAACTAAATTATCAAACAAAATTATTTTTAAAAAAATAGTTTTATAAAATAGTTTTAAAATATTTTTAAAAAATTTAAAATCAAAACTAAATCAAACAAACCCTTAGTGTTTTATTTTCTAACTTTAAAATACGTTTTAATTTCATTTTTTAATTTTTTTTCACTTTAGTCTTATAAAAATATTTTAAATGTGTTATTTTTTTAAAACATTAAAAAATTCATTGTTTTGAGTGAATACTATTTCTCTTCTTCAACTATGAGAAAGTGTCATACCCTTCGATTTTCTATTACCATCATTAATAGAGAAAAAAAAATGGAGAAGAAAATGATAATGAACTCACAAAAAATGCCACCACACCTCACTTTCTCTTTCATGCTATGGTTCAAAGTTATCTTAAGCTAGTTGGTTTTGTTCTTGTTTATTACTTCAACATCTCTTATCTCTACTGTTTCTTTACTCTTCATATTTATCCTAACCCCATTATTTTCTCCACTAATGTTGGATTATATGTTAACGTGATACTCATTTTTTAACTCAATTAACTCCTTCTCCATTGAATCAATTTCTTCTATCAACTCGATCATTCTCAAACTCAATTGATGATTCAACCCTCAAGCCATTTTCTTGGATGTTACATACTTGTTCAACAGTAGGTTTATAAGTCAAACTACATAGTACATAATACATTATTGCCTTTGATTCCTTCTATGTAGAGATTGTGCTTAGAAATATTGGATGATGTATATGATAATAATTATGCACTTTCCTTGATACCAGCTTGTTCCTTATTCTAACATAGCCAAGAGAAAGAGAGATATGTAGTGACATTTGAGAAAAAAAAATGATTTACAGTGCAGAAACTTGAGGTTAAAGATGATGAATAATACTTATACAGAAAGTATGATGACAAATTTTTTTAACTGAGTTTGCATCTTTAATGAAAAATAACATATTTGAAACATCTTTAAAAGTTAAAATACCAAAGTGAAAAAAAATAAAATTGGAGAACAAAATTGAAATCTAACTTAAAATTGAAGAATAAAAATACTAATTTTAACTAAAAATTATAAATTCCTTTTATTTTGAAGTTATAAATTGACTCATCCAACATAAAATGATGAAGACATGAATGAGAGACTAATCCACCAACACTCAAAAGTTTTCTCCTATAAAAAAAAAAAAACTCTTCCTCCACCACTGTTAAGGGTGTGCAGAAAATCCATTTTTAATAATCCAATCTAAAATAAACTAGATTTAAAAATTTAAATTTAAAAAAGTAAGATATCCAATTTTTTTTTTTGTTGAGATAAGATTTCATTTAATAAAACTAGATTTAATTTATTAAAAAATAGTTTTTATCTTTAGCAGTATGTACGGATGAATCTCAATCACATTTCTAAAAGTAAAGCATTTTTTTGCAACGCTATTCTTTCTTTCTACTATTTAGGTCCCTTCTTTAAAAATATATATCTGTAGTTTCATACTCTTTTATTTAATTCATTTTTGCTGCTTACGGATAAATCTAACATTTTCCCTGTTTTTAAGATGTAATACTTATATATGTATACCGTAATAGATATGGAATCGTATATTAATAAAATAAAAAAATGAATATTATATTATTTATCTCGTAAATATTTATATATATAGAATATATTTTTATTAAATATATTTAAAATTATATTTTTATTTTATTAAAAGATAAATTTTATAATTTATAATATTTTTAATATATTAATTTGTAATAATATTATATATATATATATATATATATATATTCATAAATCCTGCTATTTTAAAGAAGTATTTTACTAAAATCGATTTTAAAGTAAATCTAAATTTTAAAATTTATTTTAACTAAAAATAAATTTAAAATTAATTTTAAACCAAATTCAAATTTTAAATCTAGTTTTAAATCAATTTTTAAAAATAAAATAAACTATTTTAAAATCCAAATCATAAAATAAGATTTAAAATAGATTTGGAGTAATTTTTCATAAATTCAATCTACGAACACCCCTAACCACTATTAACCCATTTTCTTTTTTATTTTTGTAAGACTAATATCATCGAATTTTCTTATACTTTATTATTCACTACAATAATTATGTTATTTTTTTTCTGCCAATGTTCCCTTTTTCTCAACATGCCCAATCTTTTTTGCAAGAGGTGATAAAAAAAAGTGATAGTAGTAAGAATAATAAAAAAATAGAGTAGAAACAAGTGAATTAGTACAACTCAATTTGTGATGCAACAATGCAAGAGTTTATATAAGACATGAAAGTGAAGGATGAGTATAGATTTTTAATGAATGCTATGTTAAAAGTGACAGTAATATAATTAGATAACTTTGAGTGCATCAAGATAATAATAAATGTTTTGCTATTTGTGTTTAGGGAATTACAAGTTGAAAGATAATTTTTACTTTTATTCATTCTCTTTATTTTGTTGTTGTGGTAGTTCTTGTTACAATGCAAATGAATAACCCATGTCACGTGCTTGTGGATTTTGTTGCAGTTCCTACAATATCAAAAAATGAAAGATCCACATCATATCTCACGTAAACTTTTACAAAAATTATGTCTTAAGTTTAGTCTCCTTTAATTTTCCATTCACTGTTCTGAACTTTTTTTTCATGTTCATACTAAGTAGAAATATTAGCATAATAATGTTCCATCAATAACTAGGTTTTTGATTTATGATGAGTTTGATTCAACCTTAGGATTTCTTGACTCGATTTGCATGTATATATATTTATATTTTTTTAGTATATTTCACTACATACTTATTTATAATATTTATGATACAAATTTTATTGCATTATACAAAAAACATGTTTGTGCCAAAACAAAACTTTTGACACTTAAAATAAAACACAAAATTTAAGCATTGAAAACATCTTTTTTTTTTT